TTTTTTTGTTTATTCTTCTATGTATATGCTTCTCTGTGTTGTTTAATTTCGTTTCATATCAGCTTTATTGTGGTGCAGGGCTTCCTTTCTCGGATCTTTTGTTGGGGTTTTTTGTGAAGTACTGAAGAGGTTCTTGTCAGTTATGATTTCTAGGATACTATTTGGTGTATGGTAGAATAAGCGGATGGTATACCTTTCTCCTGAACGCGTTCAGATCATCGGCACTGATGCCCTCTGAATCACCCTTCTGTCGTGCCTTTGAGATGTCTGAGACCTGGCCTTCTGGTAGCCTTCGGTAGGTGATCAATCGGCGGGACCCTAGTTTAACCATTAACAAGAGATACTAATAGGATCTATCTTCCGATGCAAGATGCTCTACTAACATTGATTGAACGGTTGCACAGAAACACTGACAACCTCCAAGTGTGGATGCATGGGAATAAGCAGCTCCACATCCTCGTCGATGGAGGTGGGCATCCACATGCACAGACGGCCATCAGTGACGAGAGTCCTGGACGCAAAAGCGAGGATATCGTTCTGCATCGCTTCGAAGCCGTAAGGTTTCTTGGGAGGGATGTAGCCAGGTCGACTAGAGTTCGTATGTTAGCTATGTTTTTAGACCAAATGTGAACATTCAAAGCAAAGGACGTACTAATGCGCTGGAACACCATCGATAATGACTTCTTCTCGGCCACTGCCGTCTCGAGTTCCTAGGACCCTAAGGCCTTCACGAACACCATAGGGAGGGTCACAGACAATACCATCTAAGAACTGACGGTTCAGCAGCGGTGTATTCGTCAAGTCCGAAGTAAACGCATCCATAAACTTGCTCTCGATGCCATATTGTTGAAAGTTGGTAAACAATCCCATAGCCTCCTTCTCCTTCTTCTCCCTACCCTTGAAACTCCGGGGATCAATATCCGACCCACAGGTCAGGGCGCCAAAATGCGCCGCCGCAACACAGAAGCTTCCCGTCCCTACAAAAGGGTCATAGAACAGTCTCCCGGGGGCAGCATGGGCCATATTCGCCGTGACCAGACTCAGCTCGGCATCCATAGACGTCGTACTAATGTACCGACGCTTCTTCAGGTCGTATTTAGTGATGATGTCGCGACTACTGTTGGCAATCCAGCGACCCAGATAGATCTTCCTGGGCTCCACGGCCTCGCTGTAGGCATGTGTTGCACCGGGAGCTCTTGTCGCGATCTCAATGTCCGAAACGAAATCTTCCAAGACCCAGAAGTCCTCATCTGGATTCTTCATCCGAATTGGGCCGTCGAATCCCACATACGAGAACGACTGGATGATGGCTCGTTTGGCCTCCATCTTGCGCTTCCCGCAGAAGGAATCGATAGTGAAGCGGAAAGAAACCCCCTTGAACTCATCCCAGCGGTGCTGTGTCCGCCTGCGGACGTCGGCATGCACTTCCTCATAGTTGGTGCCTTGGCCCCAGAGTTCGAAGATATCCTTTGCTAAGATACTGCGTGCGATCAAAGTGCGCGCATCTGCTTCACTTGGCACTTTTACTACGCAGTATGGTGACTAATGCGCGTGTTAGTTCGATTTGTATACCTTGTGGTGATAGTGGTAGTATATGGTCAGTGAGGTGGGGAGAAAATCTGCAGGACATTTTTATTGCCCCTCAGTGCTTGTATACTGGACATTATGCCGCAAAAAATCATGGTTTCAGGGGGAAACAAAATGATAGCAAATACGTAGAGAAACATACGAACTGGTCATAGTATACAATCTCCAGATCAATCCCAGCCAGAGCGGCTAGAGCCTCGATTTCCGGTCGTCGAAAAGTCTCGTGGACTTGCGCGAAGCGGATCACATATTCCATGATGACTGAAGCCCACACCCACCACACTTGGTCGGGGCTGTTGAGTCTTAATTGACGGGTCTAGAAATCGCTCTTGTTCCCAAGATAGTACTTCGTTGGATAAATATACTGTGGATTATTTGCTGGTGGGCTGAAGGCGTCAATGGCTGTGTGGTACGAGGTAAATGCGATGGTCCTTTCTTTTTTTTTTTTTTTGGCTTTTTTTTTTGGCCGCTCAGATTTTATGTTTACTGATGTTACAGGCAACGGGAAACCCACAAGAGCTCTCATATTCTTCAACCTACACTCCAGGTAGGATTTATTACTACAATTTACCAGGATTACGGTGGACATAGACCTGGGAGGATATTCTTTCGTGGTGTTGTTCATGCTCAAGTCCATTAAACTCAGAAGCCGTAGCTACTCAATCAATCTCTAAAGGAAAAAGTATCAAGAAAAACGCAACAACATGTCTAAAGGAACAAAAGAAAAGACCATCCTGACGTACGAAACCCTCCAAAACAAGAACCCCACAGCAACAACTTCATCATCATCATAAGAAGAACCGTACAGTGCGCCGTCCCTCAATAGACAGGAACCAGAGATCCTATGACCGAACACCGTCGCTATGCGCCGACAACCTTAAACACATGTCGTGACTCATATCCTTCAGCAGGAGTGATTTCGACCTTTTCGTCGGGGGGAATCATCTCATGTTTGAAGTCCCACCCAGCCCGTCGACAGAGCTCAGATACTACCACATCACAATCACCTAAGAGATCAATATCAAAGCCGGTATGCGACACAGGCTAAGACGAAGGGTCAGCACGTGTATTGAAGGACGCAGATTGTTGACAGCCAAGGAATAACCTACAGTCCGGGAGATATAGATCTGAGGCACATGACGGGGCAGCACACCCGGCACTTCTGCGACAGGAGCAACTTTCAATGAGGTACCAATGACGATGACCAGATCGACCTTGTCACGGTCGTGGTGAATCAGGCGCTGTCCGAACTCATCAGGAAGATCTTCGCCGAAGAAGGTGATGTCAGGCTAAGATCAATGTAGGTTAGCGGATGAACTGTAGGTGTAAAAGAAACACATATACCGTACGGACCTTCATCACCCCGGGCGTGGGAAGTTCGTAGTCTTCCTCTTCAGAGCTCTCATCCCCATCGGATTTCCGGCTCTTTTGTGTGCCATTAGTGCTCCGTTTGCGCTTTTGCCCCTGTGGCCTCAAAGAGTCTTCCTCAATCGCCTGCTGGCAGGAAGTGCATTCAGGGACGTTCCCCTTCTTGATGTCCTCGAAGAGCGCATCGCCGGACACCTGGTAGTCGCATTTAACACACGTGGCCGTTGCAAACGAACCATGACATTGCACGATCTTCTCGGGAAGAACGCCTGCATTCGCCTCGATATTATCAATGTTCTGGGTGTAGTTGGTCAAAAGCTTTCCCTTATCCTGCAGGAGTCGAATGAACCCATGAGTTGGTGAGTATTTCTTCTCGGTAGGCAAAATATCCTTCGCAATCGAGTAGAAGATGCTTGGGTCCTCGCGGAAGATATGGATGTCGAAAACTTCCTGCGGATCGCTTAAACCCAAATGCGCCAATTGCGAGTAGAGTCCGGTGTCCTTGGACCGAAAATCGGGAATACCGAGACTCGTGGAGATCTGACGACACCGTTAGTGCACACGCACGTCACAGACAACCCAAAGCAGATACTCACACCGGCGCCCGTCAAAACAATAATATTCTTAGACTCCTGGAGTAACTTGACCGCATCGTCAATCGTGTTATACTGTGGAAGCTTCTGACGGCGAGAGAACTCTTGCGAGATCGCAATCGCAAGTAAAGGATGATAGGCCTCGTCCGGCGCGCCCTCAAGGAAAGCCGGGGGCATGATTCCAAATGCAGTGCAGAGTTTCTTCGCCGTCACTTTGTCCTGAGCAATAGTTTCCTCAACGAACGCGGCTTTGCCAACTTCATGTAGACGCTTTCGGAATGCAATGGCCTCGTCCAATGTACAAGCATCAGGTACTACTAGAAGTAAAAAAAGGTCAGTGAACGAACACATACACTTGGAGCCGTGGAAAGGCCCAGGCGCATTGCGCTAAGTATGAGACACTTACCCCCTTCCCGAAGTTGCTCGTCACGAAGGACTTGGATAGCATCTTCATAGAGGGACTGTGTCTCCCAGTCATCTCCAGATTCACCGCTATCTGAGTCCTCTTCCGACGGAGATATATTGCCTTGCGCAGAGACAGGATTCTCCGTCGCAACGGTCCCTTCTACTTCCGCGGAGGTCATATCGACGGCTTCCACTTCGACCACCGGATTCTTCAACGAAGAGCTCTCCCCGCCGGGCGCTGGTACAAGGTCCATCCTGTATGGGAGATAGGACACTTCCAGCAACCTCTATGACAACGCCTCAACTCACATTGAATTTTTCGCCACGCGCATGTACGATCTGCCGGGATAAATTTGGCTCTGCGAATCTCCGGGGAAAGCGGTCGGAGCGGATTTATCCGACACCGGGCTTTGGGGCGATAAGTCGTTAACTAGTACTATCAAGTGACAAAGAAAGGGTCGATCTATGGGCCAATAGGTATCGCATGGCATTACGAGCGATGTGGGCTTACGGCGGACGAAAACAAGGACGGTCCGCCAGTCAATCAACCACACGCCCCTGTACGGAGTACTAGGGCCCCGTTCTTAGTATATCGTAAACAGCAGTGACTTTTTTCTATAGGTTGGTATCATGACAGGATTCTCATAAGATCATGCAATTTCTTTTTTTTTTTTTATGAATCGGCCATCTCCTGATCGCCGTCCGACTCAATTTCGTCCTCCCAGCCCTCGTCTCCCTCCTCACCTTCCACGTCATCCTCCATATCCTCGCCCAATTCTTTGTTCATCGCCTCTACCAATTCATCCGCATGCTCCTTGAGCCTCACATCTTCGTATTGAATCGACTCGTAAAGCGTCAGGCTCTGCTTCAGCCATTCACGGCTAGCGACCAGCGAAGCATGGCGTTTTGCATCGGGGGTTTCACTGTCCAGCTCTTCGTCCTTTGGTGCTTCCTTCTTCTCTGCAAGAAGATAGAGACACCATCCTCCGAGATACCATGCCTCAACACTCTGATCATCTTCTAAGATCAACCGTTCTAGGACTTCAAGTGCCTCAAGCTCCATGGTGACCTCCATTAACAGACGAGCCAAACTGATCCTTGTAGCGAAGTCTGGGACTGTCGGGTCCTCGGGTGGTAGGTCCTTCCATAGCTCGAGACTTTTTGTGAGTGCCGCCCGAGCCTCGTCAGTCCGCAGCTGTGAGATTCGGATAGAGGCGAGAGTTTGTAGCACTTCCGGTGCATGTGAGTTGACCAAAAGAGCCTCTGTAATGAGAGTTTCGCAGCGGGCTTCAGCATCCTCTTCCCACCTAGTCACTGTTAGATTAAAGAAACTCCCCAGGCAGACCGAAAACATAGAAGAAAAAACTCACGAAAGATCGGTCATGTAGATCTCAGCAACCGCACATAGGGCATTTGCCATCTTCCGTTTCTTCTCCTCCAACTCAATCGCTTCCGCAGGACCTGGGTTCTGTTCAAGCTGTTGAATAACTTGCCGGAGACAAGAAACACCCTTCTCAAACCATTGAACGCTGTCCTTGCCTCCGAGCTCGCTCAATTGAGCAAGCCATAAGAACTTTTCAGCGCCACCTCCCTGGCTTTCAGGAATTGCGCCAGTCGGATCCAGCTCAACCGCGCGCATAAAATGCTGTCTCGCAACATTAATCTCTCCCAGCTCAACGTAGATCTCCGCGACTATGTTCAAGGCCGAAAGCTGGGCGGGGGAATTGGCCGGCGTAAGGTCGAGTGCCCGTTGGGCAACCGGAAGCGCTACATCTGGCTGTCCTGTCTGGAGGAGTGTTGTCGCCTGTTCAAGGAGCTTGGAAGGATCTTCGTTCATTTTCTGTTTCGAGACTGAGCCGCCAGCGCTGAGAACGGACTTGGACTTGGATTTGGATGCTTTCTTTTTGTGAGGTCTGGGTTTACCCATGATCGCCGTTTAGATTTATTAAGAGAGATTTTCAACGTACTCTAACAGTTCCAGTTAAATGGAGCAAAAAGGAAGAAGAATATCTATGACAGTAAATTTCTTTAAGAAGGTATTATGTACTTGGAAGCTTTGGGAGGTCAAGGAAAGCGGAGCATTGAAATTCCCTTTTCGGATCGAATAATTTTGGGCATTTTCTTATCTGTTTGTCTGGTTTGCACGTGGGACTGCAATATTATACATGGGGTATTCCATGACCGAATCCTACGCCAGCCAGCTTTAATTCACGCAGCGAGGGATTACTCTGTTGTCTTGTCGCATCTAAGTCTACAGTGCTCTATATTGAAAGTAGCCATCCTTTTGTGGGCGCAGCAATTTGGCCGTTCTCGCCTTGAAACATCCACCACTAGTACCCCTCCAACCCCGTCGGCGGCAGAATTGAAGCAGTATGGGCCGCGAAGATCAGATTGAAGAGCGCGAGGTGCTCGATTCCATTTTCCCAGAGGAAATCACAGGTGAGATTAAACCCTCATTTATGCGCACCGAAGGGACCTCTATTGTTAACATGGTTTAGATTTATCGGATACCTCCTACAGGATATCAATCGTCCTCGACGCGCCGGAAGATGACGTCGAAGAAGCTGAACAGCCCGTGTTGCTCCTGCAGGTCTCGTATCCTGCAGATTATCCCGATGTTGCCCCGGAGCTCGAACTATCCGCTCCTCCAAACGCCCCCAAACACCCTCGGCTAGATGTCCAGGAAGATCGGGACCGGCTTCTCGAATCTTTACAGCCTACTATTGAGGAGAACATGGGGATGGCCATGGTTTTCACTCTTGTCAGTGCTCTCAAGGAGAATGCTGAGCAATTAATGGCTGAGCGGGTGAATGCTGTCCATGCGCAGAAAGAGATGGAAGCCGCTAAGGCTGAAGAAGAGGAGAATCGAAAGTTCCAGGGTACAGCTGTGACCAGGGAGACATTCCTAGAGTGGCTAGAGAAATTTAAGGCGGAGATGGAGGAAGAGGAGAAGAGGCAACGAGAAGAGAAAGATGCAGAGGATAAAAAAGCCAATAAGAAGATTCCGGCTAAAGAGGAAAAGAAGATGACCGGGAGACAACTATGGGAGCGAGGCTTGGCTGGCAAGGCAGACCTTGATGAGGAAGGCGAAGATGCTTTGCCTGCTGTTGAGAAGCTGAAGATTGCTGCATAGCGTATCGCTATCTTGATGACTTCCCCTGCTATGAGTCCTTCAATCTTATAATCTAGCGTCATGCAATAGATGAAGTTTTGTAAATACCACTACCCTGACTACAGCAGCTGGCGTACATTCACGAACAGATGACGATCCTGCCCCTTAAACTTCTTCAATACCGTCCACGGTTTCATAAATTTACCCCACAAACAGGAAATGATTTTGAGAAGGACCTTGTTTCGCAATTTGGATGCAAATATGGTTTATTCATAATTTTCTAGGTATTATGAGTTAGTTAAACGCATGTCACTTGGCCCTAAGAGTCACAGCCTCATATGCAGAGGGATGCAAACCAGACGGACCAGTGGTGGACGTGTCCCATCTTAGTTTGCGATGAATCGCGCTTGGTAGGCAAGTGGCTCGCTTCGGGGGATATTCCGCCCCGCATGTATCCCAGCTCGTGTATGATTTGTACAACGTGGATGATGCGACTGCTGCTGTTTACCATGGAGTAACCAGAAGACTGTCTGGACTCGCTTTCTTCTGTCGTCCTCTGTTCCGCGATTGACTGCGGAGTAGAACAGCCTGAATGGCACCTCGTATGATATCTTACCGTACTGGGACATAGAAAGGAAATCAAGTGTCACTTGACTTTTCAGTCGATCTCTGTTTTTCTTCCTCGGCTGCCAACTTGCGCTCGGCAAGAACAACTTTCCACATGGCCTCTGCAAGTTCTATGTTCTTCTTGTCGGAGTCATGGATTTGCTGGTTAAGCGTCCCTAATGCGTCTTTGACCCCTTTAGCCCATGTGTCGGACTCAGACCCAGTCGTCAAAGCGTCCCAATTATCCTCGTCATTGGCAAACAGTAATTCACGGTCCAGCCTATCCCGGCGTTCAATTCGGCTCCATCGCTTTTCAAGTTTTGACCGTATCACACCGCTTAAATTCTTGGGTTGGGGCTTTTTGATGCGCAGGAAGGGCACTCCCCGCGCGTTCACAAGAACGGGCACCCGACGCTTGCCGCTCACGACGGGTCTCGGACGAGAAAGGATAGAAGTGGCATCCGGATGTCGTCGGGCGGTTTGGTCTTGTAAACGCCGGGACTCCTTTGTCTTCTGTTGCTTCCGAGATAACGGTTTCGGCTCCTTCTTAGAGAGCTCTCTCTGCAGCGCTGATTCCTTCTGCTTTATCGACCGGATGTCTGATATGAGCTCCACAATACGATTTGTATTGCGTTGATTTCCTTGGGAGGCCGAATGGAGTAGGTCGAGAGCCTTAAGATAGGGAAGAATTAGCCACGGAGCAGGCTCCTTGCTGAAAAGACCGCGCAACATGTATATACCTCATATCCAGCTTTCAACGCATTGACTGCTTGTGACGGGCTCTGGAGCTTCTTGTATCTCTGAAACTTTTGTTGTACGAGTGGCTTGCAGGTGCTAAGCTCCGGCGCAGTGTTCGGTAATTTTGCGCATTGTCGGAGAAGTGCCCGATAAAGTGCTAAACCTGTTGAATGAGATCCTATGTTAATCCTGACATAGTGCAGTTTTAGTGGCATGGTTTATGAACTTACAGGCGAATCTATGCACCCCAGACTTTCTGGGAACTACGGTTTTATGCATTGTTCGAGATAGAACATCCGTTCTCAGAGGATTACTAGGGGGACATGTGACGCTTGAGCCTATCAAGTGATGTCACGTGCTATTGGGGAATCACGCACACGATCATGGCCGGTGTGCGAAGAGAGACCGAAAAAGTAACTCTTATGATTTGACGGTGGTCAATCGTTCTGTCAATTATACATAAGCTGAGGAATTCCGTTCTCATTTGGACATCAAGCTTTGCGCGAATCATTTGTATTTTGTCTTGAGATGCTCCCAAATCTAAACTGTTGAATCACGCACAAGTGACATTCAGCTAAATCTAACATTCAAACCATTCCTTCATAGTTCAGTTTGCTACCGAGTTGGCGGTTCGGGGGGCATTCGTTGCTTTTTGCTTCTCCCCAAACCAAAAGTCGAGGATTTAACCAATCTAGGCCTATTGAGGTAGTGAGTCCACCACCTAGAGGCATATAGGTATTTCGAGATATTTCTAAATAATAATGAACTGAAGACTCAGAATGAGATCACGCCATGCCTGCCGTTATGCATAGACTGTACACGCTCTAATGATGAAAGAAGACAAAGGACGAGATGACGAGACCTGACGCAAAACTAACCACAATACTCCGATCATGTATCCTGCAAGATCATCGACTCAGAAGTTCGAGCCTTCCGGAGGCTGGGGAAGCTTCTTGTGTTGCGGAAGAGCCATATATCTAAGATGCTAAGCGTGGTTTCATCTAGCGGGAAAAATGGGGTTTGCATACCTTCTCATTTCAAGCAAGACAGTCTCCATACTATACTCGCGCTTCCATTGAGCCAAGCATGGCAGCTTTGTAGGGTCAACCTAAGTACCAATCAATGTTAACAGCCATCAGCATGATCAAGGATATAATGAAAGTCGCACCTTGCCGGTTCGTGGATCTACACAAGGAAGATTGACCCGTGAGATGAATTGGATCACAGGAGGATTGTCTGGGTAATCAGGACCGCAATGGATGTTGACACTGTATATCCTGTTCTCATGGACACTCTGGATGCTGCTGCATTAGTGACGCTGCCATATTGTACGACATTGATTGTACCAGCGGAAGACGAACATGAGGAGGGCCGAGAATAGTTCCGTTCCAGTTGCTCATCATCATATCTTCTCCGTCTGCAAGACCGTAGGAACAAGCCTCTGATTTGTGAACGCAATGTACATCAGCGGGATGGCGCATGTAACTGTAGGTGGGATGTCATATTTACCTGCTCCTTGGCCTTTCTCGCCCTTCTCGAGCTCCTCAAGGAGCTTGAAGTTCCTTGGAATTTTGGCAGACATTGTTTTATAAATAAAAGATGTGAGTTAGAAAAGGAGATTGCACCGATAGCTTTGGCGGATTATAAGGGATGGGGTTGGAAATGGAATTCTTTGACCGAAGTGGAGGAGGGGTTCAAATCCCACCTTCAAGCAACAATACCGCCCGGCTGCCCGCTCTGCGTATCGTATCGGCCTGAAGAGTTCCCTCACGTGATGATAACGGATTGGGTGCGTCACGTGTGGAGCCTATCTCCGCTAGCGTCTTGGCTTTCCCGGAGATGCCACGCCTGATGCTATGGTGGATTGTTGTTGAAAGGCATACGCATTGCAATCTGGTATCAATTAAAGCACCGGTGGTCCGCTTGCATTTCTGGGAACGCGTACGGCACTATCGCTCACGAGGTGCTGAGCCATTTCTGTAGTTCTCGTGGTTTTAAACCAAATATCAGTCAACATCTTTATGAAACCATATCTGTTTCCTACTTTAACTCCGAGCCCAGGCAACTTCGAACGACGGTTGCCATGATCTGATCCAACAACTAGTTGGAAATGTCCTCCCAGCTTCTACAGACGGAACTCTTGAACCTTATTCAAGAGTCCAAGAGAAAGAATTCTGATCTCCGACGTGTGAGCTAACTGCCGGTCAAAAGGGATATTCTAGGCTCTAGCTGACCGAAAGATAGGCGGCCGAAGAGTCTCTCAACGAGCTGAAGGCTTTGCCCTCAACTTCGGAGTCTCAAATTGCTGCCGGTGAGTCGGAATTACATTCCATCTCTGTCAACTATCGGCGGATTTACTGAGAGCCTAAGAGATTTGGTACGCAAACCTAAATTTGTCGATCCATTTATCTTAGCTTGCCATACGCGCCATGCAAAGCTCGCAGGTATTGGGGTTGTTTGCCTGCAAAGGCTGGTGGCATCCCGAGCGCTACCATCTGAGAGACTGAAAGATGTCCTCGGTGGGTTAAAGGAGACTACAAATCTAAGTAGGTGTTAGTCCCCTTGCGCCAACGCAATACTAATCATACCCAGGTCTGGATATACAACTCAAAATCCTACAATCTCTACCCTCTTTGCTACAGCATTACTCAAAAAACTTAGGCGGGGAGCTTCTTGTAACCACATTAGAGATCTGCGCCACTCTACAAGCAAGCAAGACCCTTGCACTTTCCAGTACAGCAGCGGCTACCTTGCAACAGCTGATAGTGTCAACATTTGAGCGAGTCCTCATCGAAGACAGTCAGTTCTCATATTTTAGATGTAGCCCTTTCATACTTAACCGCTGACCTGGTTTCCAGAAACTCCCCAGGAGTACAGGCCGAAGGTAACCGTCAAAATTGATGGAAACCCTGTAGATATTGGATACTTTGCGTACGACGCCTTACGAGTAAGCACCATGCCTGATGGTGCATTTCGCCCTACTAATTTGTGTTGAAGGTCCTGGACGATCTTTGTCGACTTGCGGATGGCGAGCAACTGCAATTTCTACGAATCAAGTCACTATCTCCAATATTCGCACTAGAACTTATTGAAAGTGTTCTGGTCAACAGTGGCCGTCTCTTTGTTGGCCATGCCGAGCTTGCGCATGTGCTGCGAACCCGGCTTATGCCAATGACTGTGAGATACTTATCTGAAAGGCACTCTTTCGCTCAGACTATTCGAGTTGCTCGGATTCTTCTCGTCCTCCTTAAGCGTCATATGTCTCTTCTTCCCGCGGAATGCGAAATGGCTCTTGGCTTATTGACACATCTTCTCGAGCCTGATGGAAATTTGCCATGGAAGCGCGTCCTTTGCATGGAGGTTTTTCGAGGACTGTATGCCGAGCCTGGTTTAGTCCGAATTGTCTACTCGCTGTACGATGGTGACGAGCGGAGGAAGAATATCCTCAAGGACCACATGGCTGCTCTCGTTCGTTTGGCATCTGAGAAGCCGTCGTTGATTGGCGTCAGCAGTCGGTCAACTGTGCCTTCGAAAGCCGCACACTCGAGATCCATTACTGAAGAACAGATTACTCTTGAAGCGGGTGGTGTCGCTGGTGTGATTGGAACGTCAGTCTCGTCTACTGACACAAATGTTCCAGGTATCAGTAGTCAGTGGAGTATGGTTCGCACGCCTTACATGGAGCTGCTTGACAAGACCGACCCTCCACCTCCCCCAGACACTTATATTTATAGCCTTGTGCTCAATTGCATTTCTTCGTTCGCTGAAGGTCTTGCCAAGTTCATCCTTCCCCTGACGGTGCCTGATCTGAAACAAAAACGGAGAAGTCGGATTGGAAACCCAGACCAAAGTGCGGATTCTCCTAGACCCTCTCACGATCTTCAAAGGACGAACTCGTCAAAAAGTGCTCACAGGCTGAATACTAAGAAATCACCTGTGCCGCTTAATCCTTTGGACTTGGAATCTCATCCTCAATTTCCGGCAATCAAAATTTGTGCTGGAATAATTGAGAATTGTTGGCCTGCTGTCCTTGCGGCGTGCTCCACCTTCTTATATGCTTCGTTGGATGACGATTTCTATCACAACCTGGTTCGATCGTTTCAGAAACTGGCCCATGTTGCTGGCCTCCTTAGATTATCTACCCCTAGGGATGCTTTCCTGACAACGCTTGGAAAGGCAGCTATGCCAGTTGATGCAAGCGGCATGGTCCCATCGGTAGTCGCGTCTGCTCCCCGCCATAATCACACCGCAGAGGAGAAAAGGAAAAGTAGAGAGATGTCCCTTGCCTCTCCAGTATCCGAGGCACCGCCAGATGCACCATCAGTATCTATCAGCACGAGGAATCTGTTATGTTTGCGTGCGCTACTGAACCTGGGGATCGCTCTGGGGCCTACTCTGGACCAGCCGGCCTGGTCTATAATCCTCGGTACGCTGCAGGATACAGGCCTGTTGACAAATGCATATTCAACTGGAGCCGAAGCTCCAAGCGCGCTTGATGGTTCGAAGGTTAGCCTCGGGGGTGAGATAATTGCTGTTCAAACAGCCTCTGCTAAGATGCTTGAGAGCACGAGCGACTACCCGAGTGATTCGTTTCGGGAGCTCTTAAATGCGCTCTTGGATCTTTCTGAAGCAACGGAGGTGCCCCAATCAGGTGAGGCATCTGAGGAGACAACGGGTAATGCTCAGTCGGCACAGCCCCGACCCGGTTATATGCGCAGAAGCACCCGCCGTGTTTCACTAGTCGTGGGTAAATCTAAGACCCAAGATGAAGAACTAAAGTTTGTCTTGGACAAAGCGGGTGAGCTTTCAAGGGCAAATTTAGAACGATTGTCGTCACTGGCTGAGAACGATCACGAAGCCTGGCAAATCCTGACACAAAGCCTTATGTCGACCGCGGCGGATGCATCGATTAGCCAAAACCTCCGGCTACGAGCCAACGATGTACTGAATACCCTTGTATTCCAAACTATGAAACAGACGGGCAGCGACGATGACCAAGCGCGTAACTCTCGGCAAATGAGGAACCTCGAAACACTGAGGGACCAGATTCAAATTCTATATGACAAAAGCACTTGCTCACTTGGATCACCGTCTGCACCTGTTACTGAGATCCACAAACAAAGCCTGGAGACCTTAAAAAATATCTTAGAACAATATGCGGAAACCTTCGCTGGCGGCTGGTCCGTCGTATTTGGCCTTATATCCAGCGTGTTTGGGCATTGTCCAGTCAAAGAAAAAAGGGCGATTGGGGCTGCTGACAAAAGCCGTAAAAGCGCTCTAGTTGCAGACTCGCATCGCCTTATCCGAGTTGCTTATAAGTCCCTGCAGCTAATCGCCTCTGACTTCATTGCGCTACTCCCCCAGCCTTGTCGCTTGGATCTTGTGGAATCGTTTTCGAAATTTGCTCTACAGCAACAAGATTTCAATATATCATTGACCACAACCTCGTCGTTCTGGAATGTTTCTGATTTTCTTCAAGGACAAATCGAAAACTTTTCCATTGAGTCTCGAGTCGATGCCTCCGTAAGCGAAGAGGCCCTCGTGGAACTGGCTAACGGCGATGATTCCTCTATCTCTAGGAATGCACTGTGGCTGTTACTTCTATTAAGAATCGTAGATCTCGCAACAGATAATAGGGCTGAGATTCGAAACTGTGCAGTCCATACTCTTTTGAGAATTTTCGATGCTTATGGCCAACAACTATCCCCCAAAGCATGGCGCCTGTGTCTCAATCGCGTGTTATTCCGGATGACGGAAGAGATTGAATTAGGATTGGAAGAAGTACGGGGCCAAGACACCAAGAAAGAGTCCGACGAATTCAAGTCATGGGTAGAAACGTCTGTTGTCACCGTCAAAGGGCTGTCTGACCTCATCACGAACTTTTTCGAATCAATCATTCGGGACGAGGAATTCGACCAGTCCTGGGAACGGCTCTTGGCTTACCTAAAGAAGCTAACCACGTTACGGATACTAGAGCTCAGTGAAGCGGTGTACCTAAGTCTTTCCAGTGTTCTAGTTCGTGTGCAGGCCCTAGATATGCTTAGCAAATCGTCGCTGCAATCTACCTGGGCGCTGTGGCTGAGCGGCCACCCTGCTGATAGGGAAGATCTGCTAGACCTGGATCGCTCGAACCAAGCCGCCGCAATCGCCTATCTACAAGCCTTCAAGGAAGTGTATCGTTTATACAAAGATGACCTGACAGGCGATGATGTTGACAAGATCCTCCACAATATGCGGTATCTTGCTTGGAACTCTATCTCGCCACGATATTCTCCAGATATTGATCGACCATCTGACCTGCAGTCATTGATTATCGATTGCATGAGAAAAATCTGTTCAGATAAGGAAGATTCTCAGGCAGGAATCATCGCATGTCTTGCAGACTTCGCCGACTCTGCGTTGACGAGATGGTCACCAGGGAGCGACCCGAGGAAACCGACATACGTTGCCTTCTCCAAAAGCACAGTAGACCTCTTGAACTGGTATATCACAGAATTTGGTATCAAGAGGGATATATTCGGCAATGGCTCTCTGGCAGCTGTTCTTGAGCATCTCTCCAATCCAATCCTGCAAAGATATGAATGGCCTGGGAAGGATCGCGAGCCGATGTTGTGGCAAAAATCGACAACGACATCCCTTAACACCCTTCAAGTTGTAATTCCTTATGTTGAGGAACAGTATCAGAAGTCAAATCAGTCAGAGATCTCCCGCTTCTGGAAATGTGTCGTGGACATCGTGAATGGCTTAGTTTCAGCCAGGGGTTACCGAACTGTTCCTGTTCCCAGGGAAGCCATATTTGCAGACGAATCCTTCGACACCGCCTCCTTCAACCGACTGAAAACCCTCATCATCCCAGCCCTCGGGGCATCTACCATCCCAGACGCCATCCGACAGGATTTCGCACGTGCACTATTGGGCTCTTCTTTCATCTACCTACCTCAACGAGTTGATCTCCCGGGGAAAGGCCTGGAAGATGACCCTCTCAAGGGGCTCTACGACGTCCGTCCCGGAAGGACGTTCGACCCCCCACCGACATCACGTACTAAAATGGCGTACACCGTAATCGACACATTGTTTGAACTAGCATCGGCTCCTTCGAAAGACGATTCGAAACACGCGTCGTCACGCATTGCACTCGCTCGTTCCATCACACCGTATCTGATCCTCCGGTGTGCCGTATCCCTGAAGGGCTATATTGCAGACCAACCCCTGCGCGGACTCATGCCTCAGCCCACACCTGCGCGAAAGGTACTTTTGCACCTCCTCACGGGGATGGTGCGCCTGCGAAGCGAACCTTCAGCCATTCCTTCCCCACCAATGGGCATGAATTCAGCTGTGCTGGTAAAGGAAACAACTACTTCTAGTGAGCAGAATTATAAAAAGCATCTCGAATGGATATACCCGCTTGTTGTGCGGGCTGTACAGGTAGCGGGGAGAGAAAGAGACGATGGGGAAGTCCTTCAGGCTCTCGGAAAGGTGTTACGTGAGGTCGGAGGCTTTTAATGTTTAGCATATAGATTTCGGCCTACGCACCGCAGGAGTTACTCTGAACTATAAATTTTGGTCTTGCTTTATCTTGTCTTAATTTGACAGTTCCCTACATCCACTTTCATTACATGGTAAGCATGAGAATGGGCGGCATTGGTCATGTCTAGTTTACAGTTGAAGGCTTGGTCCTTTTTTATCATACGTTACATCGTTGAATCGAAGCCCAGCTATTCGCTCAAAAGCTTGGACTAGTTGAAACCAAGGAAGCGAAGTCCCTTGCGTGAGTAATGCGACGTGAAAATAGGAATTGAACGACAGGTCAAGACAGGCAGATAGGTGGACAGGGCCAGAGTACAGCATTAGACTGGGTATATGTAGAACACAAGACAATTCGGCAGTCATGGACACGGTGTCATCCTCTTGAAACGACACAACATAACTAGATCAGCTTCAGAAGGCTATGCCACGGGAGGAGCGACTGTCTGGTTAGGTAGCGGCTCCCGTCCAGGGCCTGCGGTGGCCGAGCCCGGCGGCAGTTGTTGCTGGTGCTGGTTCTGGAGCTGCTGCTGTTGGATCAATTGCTGCTGAGCGATCTGCGGCGTGGTAGCAATCTCGGGAGCCTGACGGTACAGGACAATCTCGGACTGCTTAAAGTACCGACGGGCATCTATTCGGAAGGCATGAGGGGTCAGTATACTGGTGACTAGAAAATTTCGGTAATCCGGTGCATTCTTTCTGCAAAATCGGTGGAAACTGGGGGTGGGGCCGACCACGCGAGGAAATTTCCAGAGGTGGATTAGCGTGGGGGCGGCCAACCGGGGGGAGCGTCGGAAGGGAGCCCCCTCAACTCAGCCGACCTCTTTGGCGAGTTCCCGGTCCGATTAGCCGCTTTTGAATGGCCCGAAGACTGGTCAATAACCGACCGGTTATTGACCCAGAGAGTGGGATGCCGTGGGATGTTGGGTAGAAAAAAAGCGGCAGCCTGAGGCTTTCAGGCCCCGCGTACCCACCCGCCCACGACGCAGAAGATGAAGATTGATCGGCATGTGAGATGAAAAACGACTCCGTGTATTGAAAAGAAAAGGGTAAAATTCATGTAAATATGAAAAAGTACGGTTCCACGCAAACATACCTTCGTCGATAAGCACCAGACTCAGATAATAACGAGTTGAGTATTTCTTGTTAACGTCTCGGAAGGTTGGAGTCAAGTCAAACCCTCCGAGGAATAAACGAATGGGGATAGTCTCGCCTGGTCCTGATTAGTACAAGTGCTGTGACACGCGGTCCTCCGTAGGCTTTAATGGCCATAGGCACAAAAAGCTAATGGATAACTTAGACTACGGTAAAAACTCTAATAACTCACCTCTTGAGGGCGAACCATCCATGATCTGTCGCAAAGCCAATCAGTAAATGGCCTGTCATGTAATTCGAGGATCGTAGGAAAAGATCGCAAGCTTACCTCAAACCGCACCAAAGTCTCACTTTCGTTGTATTGGTTCGGGGGAGATCCGGTCGTCTCACGTCGAATAATGGATAGCTCCATATGTTTGATCTTCAATCGCACCAAAAGGAAGTAGATGCGCCCCACAATGACATCCTTGAGATGGTACTTAGACTTGGAATATTCGAATTCGATGTGCAGACAATCCTCAATACCAACATCCATCTTAATGGGACTGTTGGTCTCCGGGGGCATGCGATAGGAGTACACCCATAGATCTTTCTCCCGGATGACGTCGGCCATCCGCCTTGAGACCGTCACACGAACGAAGTATCGCAGCTTCACATTAATGCCATTGTATGACTCGTATTGCTTTTCGATGTTCTTGAAGTTGAACGGGAAGGTTTGCGGGTGTTGCAACTCTCCGGGCGCTGCGAGCTCTTGCACTAAGGAGAGGAACTCATAATGGTTACCGCGATCATAGAACATCTCTAGGAAGGTTTCTCGCGTTAGCATATGTTGAGCGCAGCATTGTTGACCGGATACTCAAGAGGGTCGGGGACCATGATGCGTGGGGATGCGCAGGACGTTGATGACGAAACCAGTATTCCATACCAATTGTGCCAATAAATTGCACCTTAATGCCCGTATGCTCTAATCGCTTTCCATCCTTGGGTCTCACAGTGACGGCACCCTTCACCGATTCTCCATCCATATACAGAGGGACTCTCTCGCGACGGCCCTTGTCGAGCTTGACATCCACTGTCTGACGTTCATCGCTATCTTCGAGCACGACGTCAATGTCGACGGGGGTGGAGAAGAAGAGGGAGGTCATCGTAGGCCAAGGGGTCAGGTAGATGGCTCAATGACCACTGCAGAATTGACAGGACGACTAAGCTAGATCGGAAATCGTGCAGTTGTTAAGGTCACCAGTTAGAATTGGATATTCCAAGTATGGCTGGCTACTGTTGCGGACCGCCGCTTTCCAACGGTTCGGGCGTGACTTGGCATAATGACAGCTTATGTAATTCACCGCCTTCCCCAACTGTATGCTTATCACTGAAAAGGGCCAGCGAAAGCCCTACATCATCACCAATACTCTTCATAAGATTCTTCATGATATCATTGCTCATTTTGAATACGACGAATAAACCTTTTGTAATCCCCAATCGTTCGTGGTCAAAGCTCCTCTCGAGCCGGAGTTCTGCTGCCCGATGCCATGGCGGCGGTCACACTGTTCATGTAGACTGTACTTGTACCAATGATGGTTTCTGCCATCCCCCATATAAGAATCGACATTATGATAAGATTGATAAATCACTGGAGGAAAATCTTGATAGAGCGGGGAGCACTAATTAAGATATGCATTAATCCCCAGTATCATCTGACGGTCAGTCCCAAGCGATACGAAAATGATCCGGTCAACAACAGCCTCAGCGACAGGAGCCACGACGATTGTACATCCATATTCTGTACTACTTGCTATAACTCTATGTCTTTGAGAAAGAGGGGTCAGGCGCATTCAATGTGACATCCGTGCCCTGTCTTTCTCTCATCCAGACTGGCTTTGACCCATCCTGGCGCGGGTTATGTGATTATGTGAAGCTGCACTGTTGGGCACATACACATTGGCAACGCTTGGGTGATCATTGGCGGGACGGAGGTGCAGCAGCTGGAAACAGATTTCCGGCGTACGTGAACATGAACAACAAATAAGGTTGCACTGTCGGAATACGACCTACGTCTGAGAGAAGGTTTGACCTGCATTGCATGTCCACAGGCTACCCCGGAATCCGCCCTGTAAGTCCGCTGCATAATTGTCACGTTCTGGGGATGCTTTGACAAGTCAACCTTCTGCAAAATGGCGGTCTAAGAACTTCTAAGCCTGTTCGTGTCACACGACTGTAGCACTGTTAATGAAGATGGGAAAACGAAGCGGAGAAATTTCCAGGCATGTTTGTTCTTTCTTCCCGTGTCAAATTGATCTATCGACCTAATACAAAAGTACCTTGTCCATTAAATTTCGCCGCAGTCTGGTACAGCCGAGTTGGTACCCCGTGTTTCCTGGTGGAAAGTTAAAAAAGGAAAAAGAGAATATACTCCGGGGTGAATAGGGTAGTCACTGGTAGAAGCTTGACCGACGCTGAGCTTGTCCTGACCGTTCAGAGTATCTTTTAGGTACTTTTCCCCTTGATATACGGAGCATTATACCCATTTCGTTCCCAAGTAGGGTTCGGGCCTGACAAATGTTTTTCCTATTTTTATTTTTCTTTTTTCTTTTTTCTTGTCCCATCCCCTGGAAACATCATCGAAGACAACGGAAGGTGACCCCATGCCCAAGATGGCATAGCGTGGGGGAACCAAGCCCCATCCATTGGCCTCGTATTGTAATATTACACCGATACATACGTCGTACAGTATTGCGCTCCGAGGCCCCGGGGTTGGGTTGTGTAGTACATGACATCATTCTCCCCAGGCTGGCGGCATTTGAACCTCGTAGAGAATTGCCGCCATTCCCGAGATACGATTGGTAGTTAACTTGAAGATTCGTATTCTTCTTTGTTGAAATTCAAAATCAAGCAGGGAAGTAGTCGGTAGATATCCTTTCATTTAGCATTCTAGACCACGGTCTTCAACCAAGGAGAATTGTAGTGGCCTTGATCCGGAAAGATACCGATTGATACGGGGTTATGTATGGACCTGTATGGAGAGTGGATAAATAAGGTAACTAATCGTTGACACTATATCGGATCTCCCGCTAATGACCAGACCGCTGGACTCCCTGAGTCTCTCCCAGTTTCAAATGATGGGGGTTCTGGTTGCTTCGTCCCTGCTGAATATTTTTCCCCCACTCGAGGGGTTTTTTCATTATTTTTTGTTATCATTATTATTGCCATTACTGCGCATTACTGCGCATTACTGCCTAGGGGGGGGGTTTTTTTATCCCCATAATAGCTGGTTTTATGAATGTCTCCTTGCCCCATATCTGTATGACCCAATACCAACGTTGTCAATATAAAATGAAAATACCGTCCCCGGCCTTTGACCCACCGTCCCAAATTTGATACTTACGTTTGAAGGAGATTTATGCCCTTTCATTCCCTACTTTTTTCTTTGCTCTTTGTTTCTCCTTTCCCTTCTTCTCTTGCTAGTTCAATAGTCCTCCTCCCGTCCGTCTTCTCGGTTTCCATTCCTCTCGTCTTCCAAACCGCCCGTTTACTATATAGCATCTACCTTACCTATCCATCCGCTCATCCCTACGTATACATCCGCAAAAACAACCCATTGGTCGAACCGTTCACACCCTGTTCCACGAATTGCGCCCATTGCACAACGTCATACACTCCCTCCATATTAAAATACAAAACCCCTCCGTGAGAATTCACCATGCTTTCCGCCGGAGAGAGGCCCCAGCCGGCTCTTGGCAAGAATGCCGCTGCCGCTCGCGCCAAATCCTCCCTGAGTCACTCGACCACCCCAATGTGGACCGTCCAACCTAAGCCGGAACAAGTTCAACACATCTGGGTCGTAACAGGTCCTGCCGGTTGTGGCAAGAGTACGGTAGGACGAGGCCTACAGGCCGCGCTGAACGTCCCATTCCTAGAAGGAGATGATGTAAGCCAACGAAAACCCTGGAGTGTCGAATCGTTTGACGAGAATCCACAAACTAACGGCTCCCATAGTTCCACTCGCAAAAGAACAAAGAAAAGATGGGCAGTGGTATCCCACTCACAGATGCAGACCGCTGGGACTGGCTCATCTCGCTCCGCAATGCAGCCATCAAGGCCCTCTCGCCCTCGGAAGCAAACAACTTCCACCCCCCGTCGGGCGTGGTGGTTGCCTGCTCGGCCTTGAAGCAAAAGTACCGTGATGTCATGCGCGTGGCTGCTTACGGCTCGCCATCCGTGCAGATCCACTTCGTCTACCTCAAGTTGGACGAGAATGCCCTTCTGCAGCGTGTCGCGGCCCGCCAGGCCCATTACATGAAGAGCACAATGGTCCAGTCCCAACTACAGGATCTCGAGGAGCCCCAGGGTGAATGGGATGCGCTGACCATTGATGCCCATGTGCCGCAGGAGCAGGTTATGCGGGAGGTTCTGGAAGCGGTGAGGGATAAGCTGGCTGAGTATCAGTAGCTTGCGTTCTCTCTCTTTTGTCCGTTTTCTTTGAGTTCCCCCCCGTTGTTCTTTGTGAGCGTTCTTTTACTACTGCTCTTGGCTTAAATTATATGCTTCGAGAAGCTTTGGGTATGCATGGATGACCTCCCGGTCTGGTGTCTGTGGAGTTTATTATCTTGCCATTTTTCTACGTGTTGGAAAATGTTTCGTTGAAACTTTGGATGGAGTTAACTTGCTGGAATACTTTTTTTACTCTTGTCATGGTTTATAAATATTATACCTATTGTACTTGTTAGATTTCCACACAGGCTTTGTCGTCTTATTTTGAACAGTGCTACAATATTTCCTGAAATACGCTCATATTCGTTATTCCATGGTTATCTCTCGGCTCTGATCAAACAAGAACATGACGTTGGCTAAACACAACGCGTGGGATTTCCCAGTGACGTCATGTCAATCTTGACAGTTACTCAATAATGACTGAATCAGGTAGTCGGTATCTTTAGCATCTATGATCTAGCCTTTAGGGCAATGCATCAGCCCCACAGCCACTCAGATCCAATATCCAGATGGAGCTGAATGGTCAAGCGGCTTACTGAGTCCAACCCCAACCCGATCCCGATACTTGATATCAGACTCATCATATGCCGGTACCAACCGAGAAAGAACCGGGTCCGAGACCGTCCGACAGACCTCCCCAATCCATAGATCCTTGCTAGCCCTAACCTTGCCCAGTCCCAAAAAGGCAATGCTCACTGGATGCCCTAATGCCGGGGTTATCAGATCATGTACGAGATCATCTCCATCTCCAGAGGAAATAATGAGGTTTAAAGTGGTGACTGGTAGTGTAGAGGCTGGCATATCATTCCATTCTATCGTCAAAGAAAGGAATTTGGCTCGGTTACAAACCCATCTACGTTGGGGTGGTGGGAGTTACTGCAGTGCTCTAACAAGAACTGCTGTGAGCCATTGATGATTATAGTACCGCGGCATAAGATCAGACACTGAACGAGTATACTTACGTCGGCCGAGGGTCCCTGTGTCCATGCCGCTACCCGCAAAATGAAGACTTTTTAAGTTAAGGAATTAACTAAGGATGGCTGATTGACCTAATCAACTTACAGGGAGAGATCTCGATAAATGAATCAATTCATTTTGTTCCCTACCACTACTAGTTTGCCTACCCAGTAAGAATAAACATCATGCGCAGCTACCGCCTGTTACTCAGTATTCTCGACTTCCCTAGTTAGACGACCCATGGTGATGTACTCTCCAGTAAGTGCATCCCATTTTATCTCTATATCCTCTTTGTCGCAGAAGGCTCTAAAACACTACTCAAGCTTTGCGCGGTCATCTTTATGATGCAAGTCGATCGGCTCGCTCTAAGGAATAAGTTGCATTAGGCGATGCTTGGACTCCGGGTCGGTACAAGATACCGCAAACTAGATACTGGCGGGATTTGCATTCTATGGGACAAGGGGTGCCTCTTCATAGTGATAGGTGTAGTAAAACAGTTTCACATTCATACCGAAGGCTACAATCACAGGGCGCCCTCGTACAATAATCAGAGTGTCGGGGCCCTGTTCTATGTGACTAAGCCGGTGCACCGCATATTCGATTGTCTTCATCCATTCCTCATGGCTCTCATCTTGTGAGTGGCGCAGAAAGACCTGGAGGCCATCACAGTAATAGTGGTGCATGCCCAGCTCATGGTACCCTGGCGGGCGGAGGCATCGGTACTGGGCGCCACTTATCTGCACGAATTGTGCCACATCAGGATGTCTAGTCTCACGTTGGATCATACTATGGATATATTTGCCCCATGCATCTTCGATAAAACCGATATACTAGTAATTAGGTGTTTTAAAAAGCTTCGAAGGGTCCTCAGTTATTCCCAAATTCCCGGGGTACCGCTCCCTTTAGTTGTCAGAAAACCCTTCAGAGATAGGATAAACAAGAAGTAAGACTTTCGGGATGGGCATCTGGACTTCATTGGTACAGGGTATGTCTTTTGAAGGCAACATCACCTACAATACTTTCTGGGGCCGCCTCCTGCAACACTTTACGGCGGCAGGTGTCGTCCATATCAAGGTATTGATGCCAACGTCCACCACGTGGGATTTCAGATAGCTTGAAATACACTGAGTGGTCAACGTCCAGAAGCTTACGGTCAAGATCGAGTGTATACATCCATTCGATGAAGCCTCCCCATAGATGAGGTACTAGAGTTTGATGAATACTAGGCCTCTAGTTCCCATTTTGACCAATGGGTGACACGGAAAAACAATTTGGGGTATTAAGATATATGGCCACTGAAAATCAAGGGAGAGCGAAGAAGAATTGTAAAGGAGATTGAAGGTCTAATAAAGAATGGTTAAGGTGGTAGAGGGAAAGAAGGGGAACAGAGGAAGCAATGGAGTAAGTGACATTAAGCGCGGTGAATGAGGGAGGCAACGAATAGAATCAGGCAGACAGCAGGCATTCACTGGCAGTCTCCCGTGACAAGCCCTCACAGGAACCAAGTATGTTCATAATACATCTGTTATAAAGCCTAGCAAAAGCCTAGATACCAGTTCTTTTATTTTATCCTTGACGCTTACCACTTGGGGATTTCTCCCTGCTCTGGGGTCTGAACTCTCACAACCTTATCACAATTGAGCAGGCAAAGAGGGTCAAGAGCTTGTTTGAACTGCGAAGATAGTCAGCTTTGGATAGACAAAATAAAAAAAAAAAGAAGGCAAGGGATAATGCGAGGGCAATATGAGGGTTATAACATACTCTGCGCATGGTATCGACAGTTGTCTTACCAAGTTCATGCTCCAGATAGTCCCTCTTCACCATTCCCACTCCATGCTCCCCAGTAACAGTCCCTTCCATTTCCACAGCACGCTTCACCATGTTGTGGACAACACTCTCCGCTACCTGGCGTTGATCATCATTAAAGAGGAGCATTGCTATTTCAAAGTGTGGTTAGTGAGTATGTCGAATACCCTGGCATAAAAAGTATGAGCGCCTACCATGAAAGTTCCCATCGCCCACATGGCCCACTATGCCTCCAAGTAAACCACTGGCAGAAATCTCCTCTCTAGTTTGCTCGATGATATCGGGCAGTCTGCTCATTGGCACAGCTACATCGGTAGTCCAGACATGATCCGTGGGCTGCTGTTTCATCTGCAGAATACTCCACAGCGCCACCTTTCTTGCACTCCACAACTCATCAACCTCCTCCGAACTGCGGGCAAACGTGAAAGTCTTCTTATTAGCATTCTCGGCTAATTCCTGAACAATTGCAATTTTCTCCTTCACTTCACCGGGCGCTCCAGAAAACTTGAAGAACAACGTTGGGGCCTCGTCCCACGAACGACTTGTTGTTTGGCTCGTGTTGATGCACTTCATCTGGACGTCATCCAGGAGTTCCACGGCGGCAATATTTATCCCCTTTTTGACCACTTCGGAAACACAGCTGGCTGCATCATGGACAGACGGAAAAGACGCAACTGCCACTGCCTCATTAATCGGCTTGACAGCCAGCTTCAATGTCGCCTCTGTGACTAGCCCAAGTGTACCCTCACTGCCGATGAATATCCTAGTCAGATCATAACCGGCGCTAGATTTCCGTGGCCTCTGTCTGGTCTTGATAATTGTCCCATCGGCCAGAACAACAGTCAGAGACAGTACCCAGTCACGCATTGTCCCATAGTGATACGCATTTGTTCCAGAACAGCCGGTACCGACCATACCACCAATCATTGCGCCAGGACCAGGGTCTGGAGGGAAAAAGAGCCCATCCCTAGCGAGTTCTTCGTTCAATACTTCCCACTGCACCGCAGGTTGTACTACGACGTCCAAATCATCTTTGTGCACTGTTAGGATTTGGTCCATGCCTTGGAAGTCAATGCAGACCCCTCCTCTGGTCGGCGCAAAGTGCCCCTCGAGACTCGTTCCCCCTGCATATGCTGTCACTGGAAGTCTGCGTCGGTGACAGATTTCCATCACGCGGGAAACCTCTTCTGTAGTCGAAGGGCAAACAACTACTGAGGAGACCTCGGTTTTACTCGGAGAATAAGATGACCACTCGGAAGTGGAGTAGGGTGCCAAAGCTTCTTTATCACTGATGACATTGTCCTTGCCCAGGATACCAACGAACTCTTCAACTGCTCCTTGGATGTTGGATTGAGAAGTATCATGGCATGGCGGTGGAAATTCTTTGAGCGGCGTAGTAGATGTCCCTGCTGGTTCCGGTTTTTTTGCAATGCCTAAATAATAACCAGTAAATCCTGAGAGAAAGAGGGCTGAAACGAATTTGCTTGGTTAGTTACACAATATCTTCCATTATGAGAGACTAATGCTGGGCAACGGATATACTGCACATACCGGATGAAGCAATGGCAATACCGACACCTGTAGTCCATTGCCTACGTTGTGGGTGGCTGGACGCCCCCTGTTTATGGTATTCTTTGGCTAGTTAGCAGGAGTATACCCACAGGGGTCAGAGAACAACGCTCACCAGATTCCGGCCTGCATTGAGTACTCACTGACATGAAAGCCTTTGGGGTTAAAGGCCTGCTAGTCTTTTGCAAGCGAGACCTCGGCCAAGTGGATCCGGAAGAGACGGCCTGCATTAGAGGGCGACCCTCCCTTGCGCTGACTCTTAACATGTTTTACGTTTGTTATTTCCTTGCTTCTGATGCGTAGGTATGGCAGCAAGAAGAGAGAGATGTCTCTATTCGCGCACTAGGTATTGCAATGCCTTTCCCTGCCAAGTGCTGATAACATTGGTAAATCTAGGTGCCACTTCATCGACTGAAGCGGGGGACCTTGATATAGTCGTCCTCGTCGGCCGAATGGATAATTTATCCAATCACCATGGTGTTACCGAAACTAGAAACGTTAGAGGACTTAATTGTCAGACACAAACAGCACATCTCTCGGGGTTAGACTGGTTCTCCCCGAAATAAATGGTATGAAAGCTCGTTGACGTCATGCCACATAAGGGCAAGTGAGTGCAACGCCAATAGTATGCATGTTCATATCCAATTGGACTTCTGTCCGAGGTCGTATGATAAAATCAGAGCATCTCCATTTTGACCTTGATGTTATTGGTTAATGCGTGAGAGACAAGCTTCTTCGAACACGGCATCGCTAGTAGTTTATTCTATCGGCCGAAAAGAGATCTCGGTCCCTTACGGCAGCTAAGCTGAACCCTGAACCCACCAAGCGGGCCTTGATATGACATAGTTCGCGACTGTGGTACTGACTTACGTCAATCGTGCAGTGTTCGACCGGCCCGATCGGCCTTGATCGATGAACAATCTCTGCTGAACAGAGCCGGTTGACCGGGTCCATTGTCCATGGAAGCCGGTGTTGTACCGAGACATTGCCCTAAGTTGCTCAACTATAAATGGGGGTGAGAGCATTTGCGTCTAGTTAGAGAGATCTGTACACACAGCATTTGAGTTTCATACATCAGACCGGAATACACAAAGAGCCAAAGAGTGAGGAGTCAACTACACTTCGCAACCATGTCGACAGCCCAGCACAATCCATTGCCATACACCTACGAGACGAAAGTCTATACTGAGGGGCTCAATGACAAAAAGCCCGCTATCACTTTTGATCCTTTTAAATGGGAGGGGCTGGCCAAAGAACGCCTCTCAGCAGATAGCTTCGGCTACGTCTGGGGTTCTGCTGGGAGCAGAGAGACAGATAATAACAACCGGAAGGCATTCAAGAAATGGGGCATCGTTCCATCCCGTCTGGTTAAAGCGGACTTTCCAAGTTTGAAAACGACGCTGTTCGGTGAGGATTACGATTACCCGATCGCAATCGCACCAGTAGGGGTACAGCGAATTTTCCACCGCGATGGTGAGGTTGCTGTTGCCTCCACTGCACAGAATGAAGGGATAACGTACATCCTGAGTTCTGCATCTTCGACCAGTATTGAGGACGTCGCCGAGGCCAATGGGCATGGATCCCGCTGGTTTCAGTTATACTGGCCGTCAAATGAGAACAACGACATCACAGCCAGCTTGTTGAAACGCGCCAAAGATGCCAACTACAAAGTCTTGGTGGTCACACTCGACACCTACATCCTTGGATGGCGCCCCTCGGACTTAGAAAATGGGTATAATCCATTCCTCCGGAAAGACAATATTGGGGTCGAGATTGGCTTCTCCGATCCTGTGTTTCGGAAGATGTTTGCGGGAAAGCACGGCAAAAGCATCGAAGAAGATATGGCAACTGCAGCGGCAGAATGGGCTCATATGATATTCCCTGGGTTAAGCCATGGGTGGGAAGATCTCCAGTTCCTCCGTCAGCATTGGGATGGCCCAATTGTACTGAAGGGTATACAAACGGTTGAGGATGCGAAGCTGGCAGTCCAGTATGGCATGCAGGGAATAGTAGTATCCAACCATGGCGGACGCCAGCAGGATGGGGGAGTGGGATCTTTAGACATGCTGCCAGACATTGTCGACGCGGTGGGGAAAGATCTAGAAGTCATCTTTGATTCTGGCGTGCGTTGCGGCGCTGATGTAGCTAAAGCTCTGGCGCTAGGGGCCAAAATGGTCCTTATCGGTCGACCCTACGTGTACGGACTGGCCATCGCTGGAAGGGAGGGTGTCCGCCATGTACTACAGAGTACATTGGGTGATCTACAGCTTACTCTTCATCTGTCGGGGATCAGATCGGTGCATCCAGAGCACCTTAATAGATCTAGACTACGACGGGTGGATTAAGCAACATATACAGGCACTACCTAACAAGGTTGAACTTGTGCCCATATTCGATATGGACATATATACATAACCCTAATTTGAGCACCACAGTGCTTAAAGCCCAACAACTAGTTGTTCAATTATTATAGAATCGTCATCTTGTATTAAACCATACCAAATAGGCTCGGTTGGATCAAAAATTTCACTATAGCAGAACTTAAATCGATATTCAATGAATTCTAAAAAGCTTCTCCTTCCACGTCCCAGATACATATCTTTTGGTGAGCCAAAGCTACCCTAGCACGTACATACATGGCATATTAAACCGCTCTACTTGTTGAAATGTATGAGTTCATGCATTCTTATTGTTGGACGAGTTAACCGGTTAGTAAATCACTATGGTTTTCTTTTTTTTTTTTTTTCTTTTTTTTTTTTTTTTTTCTCGTTGGGGACACACGGGGAAACTCACCAAAATGTGCTTCGTTCGTTCAAGGTAATTTTAACAGGCGGAAACATGATCAGGTACCCTACAGTAAGTGGCTCACATAAATAGCAAAGGACCAGCGTGTGAGCACTAGTAAGGGTACAATGCACCAGCAAAGAGAACATGCACCGGACCGAGAGATAACTTTTCCCAGGGAACCTCGCTCCCTGTTGAGCGGACCATTGAAGAATTGCGGATTTTTGTTTCCAAAAATCTCTTGCATCTGTTCGTGAACAGATCGAAATTTTTAGAGCATGATCCCCTACTCCAAGTCCCGGCATATAGCCGGGTTGAGGGCAGCCTGCACTATGGCAAAGAAGGAAACGAAAGAAGAAAAGAAGGGGGAAACTTCGTCTTTATGGTTGCCTGTTACGTCAAGATTGCAAGGGAAGGACCAAAGTAAGTTCGTGTCTAATGGTAATGATGAAGGCATCATCCATTGACACGATGATTTACACTTTCGACGATGTATGACAGGTGGTGATAGTGTCAGGTCACATTAACCCTCATTGATTTGAACGGTTTGAATGAGAACTTCTATCTATATACATGAACTACCGTAGCTTTAGAAGCATCAACTCCGGGGATTCAATACATTCCCGGACTTTATTGGCCATCCGAGCCATAGTCGCGCCATCCACGACGCGGTGATCTGCACTCCAGCTGAAATTTACCAATTCACCCTTGGTAACCTGACCCGCCTCATCGAAGATGGGTACCGTCTTGGATTTTCCAACACCCAGGATAGCCACTTCGTTGGACACAATCACTGGTGCGACGTAAGTGCCCCCAATATTTCCTATGTTTGAGACGGTGATTGTCCCGCCACTCAGGTCTGCTGGAGTGAGCTTCCCTTCTTTACCTAAGGCGCTTAGGCGGGAGATTTCTGCTGCAACGTCTTCAATTGACCGGTTGGCAACATCTTTAACATTCGGCACGATCAAGCCTTGCGGTGTATCCATTGCAACACCAATATTGTGTCTGGGCCGCATGATGAGTTGGGGCTTGTCGGGATTGCTTGTGTCAACCTTGGCGTTCAAGATTGGATATTCATTTAGGGCTAAAGAGACGGCTTTGATGACGAAGGAGAGGAAGGTAATTCTCCTGGGGTCCTTCGGATCATTGGCCAGTTTCTTTCTCAGAGCAGTGATATTGTTGATGTTTAGCTCATCTGCAAATAGGAAGTGGGGGATGTTGAGCGACCGTGTCATGGTCTTAAACATTTGTGACTGGATTGGTGTTAGGTTGACCGCTGTGTCTGTTTGCTGTGACACAGGGGCTGTTGGGGTTGTAGGTTGCGACGTAGGTGCAGAGTCCCGCGCTGCCACAAACCGAAGGACATCTTCTTTGAGGACGCGTCCGTCTTTCCCTGTCCCTAGAACATCTAGAATATTCACATTATGGGTCTTCAGCATCCCACGGACGGCCGGGGTGGCAAGAGTGGCATAGCGTGAACCATTCCTCGGGGCTTCTGGCTTTGGGGTAGTAGCAGCCACTTCTACTGAAGGTTGTTTTGCCTCAGCCTGTACAGGAGCAGAGCTGGGTTGCGCGGCTGCTGGTGCGGGCTCAGGTGGTGGGTTATCATCTGGATATTTTCCATCCTCAACCTCTATATCGCACAGAGCCTACAGTGGAATTCTCTCAGCGATCATATTCTCAAAACATAGACATGAATGCAGTATTACATACCTTTCCTGTGGGGACAGTGTCATCTGCTTGGAAGTGAAGCTTCTTAACAATGCCTCCGTACCTCGAGGTAATCTGATATTGTTAGGTCTCTATGTGCTGGTCATTGGTACGAAAGCGACTAACATCATCCACTGCTTTATCTGATTGATATTGACAGAGAGGTTTCCACTCCTCTATATGGGCGCCTTCCTCGACGTACCATTGAATGATTTGAACTTCCGTGATCCCTGCGGGGCGCAAGTAGGGTGAGTAAGCATATGATATATGCGTATAACGCAGGTTATCAGGTGATTTGACGTACCTTCGCCAACATCCTTCAAGATCTGAGATTTGACCCCCCACAGAGCCGGAGCAGCATGGAATGTGCGACGGGGTAAGGATATTGTTGACGGGGAGCGAGTTATCGGCAGGACTCTGTGAGATTGGCAAGAACGGAGAGCCCAAGAGAGGCCTCCATTGCAGCGTAGAATGCTCATTGTCAAGCCGAAGTCAACCCACGGTTATGGAGGAGGAAAGAATGCTTTTCGAGAGGGGAGAGCGCAACATTTCATTGTGGAATGATGGTGGTAGTCCATTATTATTGCTCTCCTTCCTCCGCATTCTGAACCCCGAACGCCGACGATAGCCGACCCCAGCGTCATCCCACGTGACCGTATCTCCGCATTTTACGAACGGGCATTTCGGTCCATCTTTGCTTCCGCGATGTGTTGCGGAGAAATAAATCACTGTCGAGCTACCTGATCTTTTGTTGATAAGCCTGTGCCGAGATAATGCGATAAAAACCGCAAATCTTAGCTAGGGAGGGCCCAATTGATTCCTCCTAGTCTATATTCTCCCCTAGACAGGCATTTTCAACACAATTGGTGAAAGAAATCCTCTTGAGCGGTCGTGCAGTGTCAGAAAAAGCCATAGGTACTCGAAAGATGACAAATCTTGAAGACTTGAGAGGACCTCGGAGAGTCGGAGGGAGTTGTTGGTAACCAAAAAAGAGAAAAGAAAAAGGGAGAAAAAAAAACAATTATATTCTCGGGCAATGAAAGTAGCATTGGCAGTCTCAGCCTTACCACACCACTGCAAAGTACGTGGGGGTTATGGATTCATGGGAGAGTTCGAGTTTCCTGCGCCAATAATACACAGTAAAACATGACTGCCTGAGGAACTTGGCAATCAGGTACAGAACTCCGTAGGTAAGTCGCCCATACTCCGAGTCCGCTCGAGACTTCTTGTTCAGGTGGAAAAGGTTAGGTTGGTACCACCAGCGCGGAAGATCCCAAGAAAAGCCATTCAAATGCCGATCACGATTGGTGCGTATCGCATCGTGGCTGATTTAGTGCCGTCGCAATTCTCCAGCGCTACCATCCACCCCGATCCAACCAGGCCAATAATGAGCACCAATTTAACCTTGCAGCCTGGTACTACTTGGTTCGTTCAGCAGCGTCAGCGAACTCTCCAGCCTTATTTACCTTCCGAGTCTCTTCCTCCCTTAGAAACCCATGGGTTGTTATCCTGGACGATCACGTACCACAATGGTGGCCGAACACTTGACCATTCGCAATCTCACATCCACGCCAATTACCCTGAAGCGCATTGAGCGTTTTCATCCGCATCATGATCGTAATATTCAACATTTTGCTAGAAACTTCACCCGAGTCTTTACCAATGTAACCCGCACGAGTGCGCCGGTCGCCGCGATCACGGATGACAATGAACCTTTTGTTCATGAGGATTTGGATATTCATATCGAACCTTTCCAGACAATTCACACTGAGCTTCGCACGTTTATCGACTCGGATAAAGAGCGCGTACGCTGGTTCTTCGAAGTGGAAGGAGAGAGACACCAAGTCCAGACTCCCGTGCCCACGTCGGAGTCCGCCACTATGAAGGCATTGTGCGACGAGCCGCGATTCAAACTCACTGGTATATATGTGACGCCCGAGGCTCATCTATCAATCTACTCCTCCGCCAACCTGAACGCGTGGATGGGCGAGCTAAAGGACGACACCTTGCTCTCCTCTCTTTCGATCCCAGGCACCCACAATTCCCCAACCTGCCATGTTGCGCCGCCCTCCGTTCGCTGCCAAGCAGTTAGCCCACGAGAACAGCTCGAAAACGGTGTGCGATTTTTTGACATCCGTGTGCAGCCACAGTATCCAGAAGATGCCGACAAGGATGAGCTTGCTTTAGTGCACAGCGTCTTCCCCATCTCTTTAACGGGGAACAAATACTTCCGTGACTTGATGCATGAAGTAAACGAATTCCTCGACCAGAATCCGTCGGAGACCCTGATCATCTCCCTCAAACGGGAGGGACCCGGCGAGCACACCGACCAGCAGCTCAGCCGGATTCTGAGCGATCACTACGCACGTCCAGACAGTCGGTGGTACACAAACCCCAAGATCCCCACTCTCGGCGAAGTGCGCGGTAAGGTTGTTCTTATCCGTCGGTTCGACATCTTGGATCATCTCAAGGATATCCATGGGGGCGCAGGCTGGGGAATCTGTGCCTCGGGCTGGGCCGACAACTGTTCCAACGCGACTTGCCCCAGTGGACAATTATGCATCCAGGATTTCTACGAAGTCTTAGAGACAGAGAACATTGGCGAAAAGATTAAGTACGTGCAGGAGCATTGCTTCCGGGCCGCTGAGACCTGTTACCCGTTCGGCGTGCTTCCGGACTCCGAAGCAACCAGGGCACATCCATTTTATATCAATTTCTTAAGTGCGAGCAATTTTTGGAAACTTGGCACTTGGCCGGAGAAGATTGCAGGTAAGCTGAACCCAGCGGCAGTTGATTATCTCTGCCGGAAGCATGGTGAAAAAGATGACCGTGACTGGTCCACCGGTATCCTTGTCACGGACTGGGTTGGCTTGGATGGCGACTGGGATCTTGTGCGATGCATCGTGGGCATGAATGCTCGGTTGAAACTGAGGCAAGACAGGCATGAAGGTGACAACTAGATGACACGGCGTATTAGCTCTATAATGTTGTGCTTGTACTAGGGCATGGAATTTCTGTTACATTTACCCAACCTGTGGCCATCCACAAAACCCACAATGATATCCACAACTGCACCTTTCGGGTTTGAACAAATTAGTGCATATATATATATATATATATTGTAATTAATCTTGCAATCTTAGCTCATTTATACATATTGGTGCAGTCCTAATTATGTGTACGGTGTATAGTAGAAGCTATAGTAGCCCACCAGATCTAAGAAGCATGCGGTCGAGGACTCGAGCGATGTGCACGGTTGTTTATTAGAAGTTCGCATTCTATACTTTGGCTAGTGTTTTTAAAGTAACCCTTCATGTGCTAGAAAAAAAAACCCATAGCCTTCAATAACCGGACAGGAAAAGTACAAGTGTAGGTAGTATTATACATAGAAATCAAACTGGTCACGTTACATTTAAGCCTCAGTCTTTTCATCACTCGGGCCCTTCTGCTCCTCCTCCAGGACGCTCCTCCTGCTCTCAAGAGTGAAGTACAGGCTCTTACCAGCGCCCTCCAAAGTGTTGGTGACGCTAGATGCCATGCTTTGCAGGGCCATGACAAGTTGTGACCGCAGACCATCCATACCACCTTCGATGCTACCAACCCACTTGGTCTGGTCGACATCGAATACCTTGCCATCCACACGCGCAGCAAGAAGAGCCAGCTTATTCAAACCGTTCTGAACGGGCAGCTCATGCCATCCTGGGTTGGCCTTGCGAGTGGGAACCGGGAAGCCAGCTGCCTTGGGAGCAAGGACCGTCAACGCAGCTTTCAGATGTTCCGGAGACATCTGAGGAATGCTCAAGACTGCAATTGGTCCAACCAAGACTGGCGACAATTCGTGCTTGCCCTTCATATTGAGGACGGCATCATGAGCCGCACGGGAAAGGTCGTGTGACAGAGTGGGATCATCCCTCGACCCAGAGAGAGAGACTTCGGCAGACGTTTGCGTGATGGGGTCGACGGCGCTGGGGGTCTGGCCGGCTTCAATTGTGGAGGCGCTGGGTCGAAAATACTCGACGATACGGAGGGCAACCTCAAAGATACTGGTCTGAACAATTTGCACCTTGACGTGAGAAGCAAGCGGAGGAAAGGAGCGTCCCTCGGAGGCAATCTGTTCGTCCACTTTCTGCAAAGCCTTGCTCAATTCTCGTCGGATGGCAGCCCATTCCACAGACTGAAGGTTATCATGCTGCAGAAACACCATAAGAGGTGTAGTGCGGATGAGCGACGTATATTGTCGGAGAAGCTGAGACCGACGGTACTCGGGATTGCGATGTGAGGGAGGTTGAGACGGAGGAAATCTAGCAATGGGAGCAACGGAGTGTGTCATCTGTTCAGGCGACGCGGCCGGGGTCGTAGCTGTCGCAGCGGTACTCGCGTATCTCGTGAAAATAGGCAGCTCATGTTGACAGAGGAGCCTTTGCCGGCGGAGCGGCTGGGGGATGCGGCCACTTGACAGGCGAATTCGTGGAGGCATTGTGAAGAAAACGGTAGGTTTTAGCAGGATTTGAGTTATTGAACGGTCGATTTATCCTTGAAGCGGCTCCTGATATGGACAAGGGCGCCTGAGGCCGGTGAAATTGGAGATACCGACAACAGTGACTTCCGGAATATACAACTTGGACGAAAATATGGCACGAAATCTTGGGTTCCCGAAAAGGTATAGCGGGATCTCCGGGCGGTGAGGTTCTGCCCTACGCCGATGACGGATTCTATATGAGGGGTGCATTGAGTCAGAGATTCTTATTATCGCGTCTGTATCTTCAATTTCGGGGTTTTTAACGGTTTCGGGGGATATACCTGCAGATATCCTATAGCCAAAATGTCTGCTGCTCCTTTTGACCTGCAACCGGGTCAAGTCTCTATCTCTCCCCTCCTACAGAAGCTCGCCTACCCCTCCGAGAAGCTTCCTGTAGAAGCTGCAGACATTGCTTCAGCATTCGCATTGATTTTCGAGGACCGTCTCTCTGCTATACAGACGGCAGCTCTTCTGACACTTTTGCACTCTACTGGAAGGGACCGAGATGCAGAGGTCATTGCTAGATGCTCCCATCGCATGCGAGAGGCCGCTACTCAAGTCGACAGGCCCACCTTGAAAAAGGTCATCAAGGCCCAAGGTAAGAAGGAAGGCACTTACAAAGGAGGCCTGGTAAGAATTGCTTTCGGTCCGCAACCCATTTAATACCAGTAACCTGATATGTGGACTATCTTAGTGCGATATTGTTGGTACTGGCGGAGATTCGCATTCCACTTTCAATATCTCTACCACTGCTTCTATCATCGCCTCGCCGCTTATCTTAATGGCCAAACATGGCAATCGCGCGCAGACCTCTTTCTCTGGATCAGCAGATGTCCTCAATGCTATTCCGCCGACTCCCCCAAATATTGCCGCTGTCAGCGCCGAGAACCTTGCGCAGGTGTACGAGAAGACCAATTATGCATTCTTGTTTGCCCCTAACTTCCACCCGGGCATGATGTACGCCAATGCAGTGCGCCGCGCATTGGGACTACGAACAATTTTCAACTTGATGGGCCCACTGGCTAATCCTGTTGATTGGGCCATTGAGGCTAGAGTGGTCGGTGTGGCCTACCAGAGCCTTGGACCTGTTTTTGCCGAGGCCCTTAGGCAGAATGGATGCAAAAAGGCAATGGTCATCTGCGGTGAGGAGGACCTGGATGAAATCAGCTGTGCCGGAAAGACCAACTGCTGGAAGCTCACTGAATACCCTAACCCTGCCTACGAGGGTCCAGCAGATGATGATTGCTCAAGTGATGAGGACGAGCATGAAGTCCCCCGCACTCTGGTCAAATTCGAAACTTTCCAACTACACCCATCAGACTTTGGTCTGCCAACTCATCCTTTGACTGCCGTATTCGGAAGAAAGATGCCCAAAGATAATGCAGCCAAGATTATGAGCATCCTGCGAAATGAACTGCCTCGCGATGATCCAATCCTCTCCTTTGTCCTTATGAATGTCGCTGCCCTTCTGGTTATTTCGGGTGTCTGTGAAGCCGACACTAGTAACATGGGACCCGGCGATGATGGCCAGGTGATTACCGAACGCGGACCAGGTGGTGGACGCTGGAAGGAAGGTGTCCGGCGAGCTAGATGGGCCGTCGAAAGTGGCGCAGCCCGTAAGTGCTTGGAAGGATTTATTGAAGTGACGAACAACTTTCAGTGAACCATTTCTTTAGCAGTGGTTTAGGTTCTCTCTTTCTTCTTTCTAAAGAATATGTTCACAAATTGGCAAGGTAGAGGTATAGGGACATGTGTATTGAATGACGAAATTAATAACTTTACTCATGGAAAACTTCAACACGAGTACCTTCCGCCGATGCACAGATATAACGAGTCCCTTTCAACAAAGGTCATCTGCAGAACCATCGCCGCATCGCTATATTCAATTTTTTTTTTGTCCCATCGAACTCCAAGGCGCCACCTGAATGCATATCACGATACGATCGTAAAAAAATTATAAAGCCAACGTCGCGCAACCGGTCTATCCCATTTTACCGAGCTTCGAACTGAACCATTCTGTAGAACCAAACAAAGTCAGCAAACACCCAATTTAAAACTTTGTCAAGAACAAAAAAAAAAAAAGAAAAACCCAACCTCTTCGTCCTTTCCTTGTACAACACACGATGACCGCATTCCTTGCAGCGGATCTGGTCACCCCTCTTCAGCGAGACACGAGCGTTGCACTCGCCGCATAGATAGGCAACCATAGGGCCATCCATGGAGCCAGCACCGGAGTCAAAGGTATTCTGTCCGCCCAAAGAGGAAGGAACCTGGTAAGCTTCGCGAGACATGGTAGGTAGGTGGTTTTCGACGTCTGTCTCTTTGAGAATATTATGGCAAGCGGATGTGGGCGACGGAGGTGTTGTCTCGCGACTTGGATTGTGAGCTGAAGGGAGCGGGTTTTGAGGAGCTTTGGATTGTTCTGGATATTCTTTGCGCAAACCTAATTTTGCTGAGTCAGGCTTTGGATTTGATGACGGGCAATCTGGGACTAGCCATTTTTGGGCTAAGGTGCTCATGACCTCCGGTACCTTAAGTTCCGGTCCTTATCAATGTCAGTATCTACTCAGGTTCTTCTTTGTCTGTGATAGATTACGCCAGCGTTGAAATGAACTAGTCAAGCCAGTGGAGTTGAATAACGAGGTGATAGGGGTTTCCCAGCTCTTTCAAAACAACGCGGAGATGACTACACTAAGCCACATATTTTCACAAGGGCCTCAAGAGAGAGATATATAAAATAGCATTCTGAATATTCAACGGGGCGAATGTCCAACGACATCTTAGCTATGGATAAGTGTGGAATAACCGAGGCCATTTTTTGTATATCTGCTAATCATTGTTATGTCTATGTTCCCTGTCCTGGTAGCAGTAAATGCAAGGTACAAGCTGCTACAAGGGGTCACTGATCTCTTTTCTGCGCGAACCGTGCATTCCTTCTCATTTCAATGTCACCTTGGACAAGCCACTTACTGGCCTCTATCAACTGAACCATGTTCACATATTGCTTAAAGAGCATAAATGGCGTCGAGACATAAAGTAGGCACCATGGAACAGTTTCGTCTAATTTATTGGCACTGAGATCGATGTAAGTACATGTTACGTCACAGGGTGTATTAGTCGCTCAAAATCTTACCGGGCCATCTCCATTGCCCCAGCACCCCAAGAGGAGCTCCATAGTGTTGAAGGATCGGATTGTGATGCCTTGAAGCTCGCATTGTCCACCGTCAATGGCGACGACGAGAATGAGAGTAAATACAACGCAATGAAGAAGAGCTCATTCAGCGCGCACACCGTAAAAAGGACTTTCTACATATTGTTAGTTTTGCGAAGAAAGTATGAGTGGGCCAACGCCAACATACTGTGTTAGAGTAGTAGATCCGCATGACCCATGGCCGACTCTCATCGATCTGTTTGTGGCTCTGACGGTTTCCACCCATTGCCAAGGTCGCATACATATGGATATAGTGGCTTGAATAGTCCAAGCTAATCAAGCCCTGAAAGATAATACTCCACCTGGGAAATGCGCTCGCCAGGAAAACTAGCAAGCATGTTGTTGTACATCGGTCTGTAATCATATCCAGGACGGCACCGAATCGCGTTGATTGCCCTAGACGCCGTGCTGCGGCTCCATCTAAGGCATCAAGTACACAAGAGACGCTATATAATAGTGAACATGTTCGTGGGTGGAGGGGCATGTAATAGAGGGACATGACGGCGAGAACAACGCGGGCGTACCCTAGAAACTTTAAGAACTACTCAAAGGTGTCTCGTCACCAATAAAAGGAACATACCGATCAGGTTGGGTACGAAGAGGAAAACGTTCTCATCATGATCTTCACGCCGTCCAGCAGCGTCTTGTGTCGAATGGCTAGCCATGTGGGAGGACTTTCTCGGTGGTATCCAGTAAATGGATCAAGAGAATTCTGGTAGATCGGAGTTACAGTAACGTCGGCTGATTGGGCTCGGAGCATCTATATTATAACATAGAATTTATAAAGAATGTTCGGTTCACGTACTAAAAAAAAAAAAAAAAAAAAAAAAAAAAAAAAAAATAAAAAAAAAAAAAAAAAAAAAAAAAAAAAAAAAAAAGAAAAAGAAAAAGAAAAAGAAAAGAAAAAAAAAAAAAAAAAAAAAAAGAGGTAAGATATTATATACTGGGGTCCTTTGTACTTGTCCCGTGACAGGCATAGTGCCAACGGTAAGCCCCGGGGCTAAAATCGGACCCAGTGTCCGCAATACAACATCAACGACGATTCATTCACTCGTAACAAGAGATCGTTGTCTTCAATGGAAAATTGCTAGTCTCTATGAGTACCTATTAGACCTCTTAATATGACCGTCCATAACACCAAAAGGGCAAGGGCTGGCGCCTGCTCGACTTGCCGGTAAGTGCAGCAGTATAATCCCTCCCATTCGGTTGATGGGTTGATATAAGGATAACACTGAGTGAGCCTCGAATTTAGCTCCCGAAAAAGACGATGTATTCCAGGGAATAAAGGAGATACTTGTCAGCTTTGTCACTTGCTGTCGGTGCCCTGCAGCCTTGATCATGCTACAAAGCCCGCCAGAGTGGCAGTTCAATCAGCATCGGGGAGGGAGAATCCCATACCTGGTCGAATGCCACTATCATGGGAACCGGACTTTTCGGAAGCACTGAAAACACACGAAATTTTACATGAATTAGTTGGGTTGTATTTTCGTCACATTCATAATATTGCCCACACCATGTTCCACGAGCCCAGTTTCATGCATCATATGAAGGAAGGTACAGCATCCATGAAACATGTCTATGGTATGTGTGCATTAGCTGCCAGGTATGTTCTTACGCACTCAAACTAGTTGATCACTAGACCACGCAGATCGATGACTGTGGATTAACAGGTTCTCTAAGAACCCGGTTTTCCATGACATCTCACCTTGCTCCCGTGGAATAGTCTATGCCTTTCAGGCCATGCGACTTTGTCGCCAATGTACGGATACTCCAAGCCTGGAGACAGTTCAAGCATTGCTTTTGATTGGATATTTTTTTAGTGGTGAAGCTGATAATCAGAGAAAACACATATATGTTGGACTCGCGCGGCTACACGCCGAAGCTCTGTCACTCTGGGGTTCTCCCACGCACTCAAGTTCTAATGCGGTAAACCGAGAAGAGTATCGCCGAACTTGTCTCTCCGTTCGGATTGCCACCCATTGGTCCGCTTCTGACATGTTCATGGAGCCTGAGGATACGTGTCACGGCTCAGAAATGGTCCCAGAAATAGATGATGTACTCTTCCATACCCTGACTTCCGCCGAATTGCTGCGGAAACCCCAATTAGCACCCACCTTTCGGTGTGACATGTGGGCTCAAATGGCACGGACACTTGATATATTTACCAAAATTAATGGATTGTTGAGACAGCTCAGCCGAGGCGCGATTACCCTCGAAGACTATTGCCGAGAGGCGCCTTTACTGGAGGATCGTCTTAACCAATGGTACGAGAATTTACCGGAGCACTTAACCTACAGTTACGACCACCTAATTTTCTTCTTGGAGAGGCACCTTGGCCGAACATTTTTGTCCATGCACATTGGATACTATCATTTTCGCCAGATGCTCTTCTTTCCCTTCCTTAAGGCGGGTGCAGGTCGAGAAGCAACCACCACCGAACCTAAAGCATCCAAGTGCAATGAAAGCGCGGCTACAGTTTCGGAGATCTTAAACTATGCTACTAGCCTTGAGAACTGTGAGTTGGACTACTTTATTTATGGGCATATTGCTGTGGTCAGCTCTTGTGTTCATCTACACTCTTTACTCTTCAGCGATGATCTCTCAGAGCTCTTCATGGCACGGCAACGACTCATTCTCAATTTCAAATTTTTGATGAGAGTGAAATCATATTGGCCTATAGTTGACTCCTCTGTAAGTCCTTTCCTTACTGAACGTGATCTATTGCCTCTGTTTTTTTCTATCTAGTCATTTGAAGACCTTGAATGTTGATCGAAAAGGCTGATGACGAAATATCTTAGGTGTCTCGTCTACGAACTTTCCAGAACTTTTGCCGTAACTCCATATCAGATCCGTTTGTTCTAGATAATTGGATGGCCCGTTTCCTTACAGAACATTCTTCTTCGCTTTCAGAGAGACAGACGCACGACTCAGTGCCATCCCGTTTCGAGGTTGAAAGGCTATCTGCCCAGTCTGGTGAATATAGCGAGGAGCTTCCTGGTATCACACAAAGCTCAGGCATTCTAAATACCCCCAACCCTGTGACACTAGAAGGATCTCAATCGAAGGAACCTGAGAATGCCTGGGACGGCTTGTCCTATCTTATGAATGACCAGAGCATCACTAACGAGGCTCTTGCTGATAATGCAATTGACTGGCTATTGAGAGACTAGGAAGAGTAGGAAGTCATAAAGGTGGAGTGATAGTCAATTTGTCAGACAAGCATCGATGACTGGCTACAATATCAATGTTGATACCAGGGGAAAGAATACGCTAACCCTTTCCACCACATAATCATACCACCGCTTCCACATGAGTAGACTTGGTGTCCTTCGCGTCCGCGACGCTTTGTCTATCGTCCATGTCCTCGGTTTTATTCCCATTATTCAAAGCAGAAGGAGGGTCACCAAACAGCTCAGCGATCTGTTCCAATGTTTTGCCTCCAGTCTCTGGGAGGAAAAAGAAGTAAATAAAAGCAGCCATAAAGTTCGTGGCAATGAAAAGTGAATAATATCTCCAACTGACATTCTCCAGCGCGGTTGGTGTGATCTGCGATAGGACGATTGCTGCAACGGATTTGGCGAACACAGCAAGCCCAAGCCCGGTCGAGCGAAGAAAGAATGGGAAGAGTTCTGAAGGGACAACCCAGACCATCGCATTGAAGAAGACTGCATAAGCACAGGAATAGAGGAAGATCATTGCGATGGCTGCACGGGCACCACTGAGATCGCCACCACTTTGGTCTCCGTACACAGCTGATAACGCCATGCAGATGGCAATCAAAACCGACAGAAACAGTGAGCCTGTCCACAATGTGCGAGTGCGTGGCCACTTGTCTGCTACCACGAAGAGGTAGATGATCTGACCAATGACGCCCATGAAGCCATAGATGCCACTGATCAAAAGTGAAGTCTTTCCGGTGAACCCTACCGTCTCATAAAAGCTGGTCTGGTAATTTTGAATGACCTGAGACCCGCTAAACTGACTCATGACAACAATGAAACACGCTATGAGCGTGCGGTGAAGATAACGACGCGAAAATAACTTGGCACAAGCAACGTGAAAGCTTGTAACCTCAGTTGCTTCTGCCTGTATCTGTTCCCGGATCTGTGCGAGTTCTTGAGACAAGGAATCCACATTACTTTCAGATCCTTGCAGCATTGTTAGGACGGTACGGGCTTCTTCATAGCGCTCCTCTTGGATTACTAAAGGGGGTTGAGAGTTAGCCTCTTGCTTTGAAGGGAGGTCCCCTACAAGACGATATGGAGTGACCTACACCAACGAGGGCTATAAGGTATAAAGCAACATCCAAGGGCCAGCAGCAGAGGACCAGGGATCTGCATTGCCAACGGAATTCGCCATTGGGCGTCGTCCTTGGCAAATGCGCCCCCATAACCGATCCAGTTGGCTATGCAGAAGCCAATGGCAATCATGAAGCCCTGTAAGCCAACAATGAATCCACGTTGATGGGGAGGGGACGCTTCGGCGATATAGATGGGAACGACAGTCAAAAGCATGCCGCAGCCGATTCCAGCGAAAAATCTCCCTGCAATCATCATTCCTGCATTGACAGCGGCGCACTGAAGAACAGCACCGATAATTGCTGGATAAACACACTTATTTAGCAACAGGTTCAATCAATATAGCAGTAACAAAAGTTGAAGGGCTATGATCAGAGTACGCAAAGGGACCAAGAGGGCACTTACCTACTACGGCACTTCCGCAAATAGTCCATCGCCTACTAAACTTGTTGGCTGAATAGCCTGCTACGAATGTACCGAGAGCCTGACCAACATTGTACAAGGAAACAATGGCCCCTAGCAAAGTATATTGTTAGTACCATATCTCCCGTATATCTGGAAAGAACACAGAAAATTGAAGCAGAGATATGTTACTTGCCTTTCAACCCAGCATTCTCACCGGTTGGTCCGAACATGGCATATTTAAAAGTATCATGGCCCAAGGTTGTTGCGATAATCCCTGGTAATTGTCAACGGCCATTGATAGTCTCCTATTAGATCCAATGAAGATGTACCTGAGTCCACCCCGTATACGAAGCCTCCTAGAGCCACCACCAGTGTGATCAGGACAAGGTTAAGGGAAAGCATCTCTGCAATATCCAAGTGGGGGCAGCCTGTTTGTTGCGTACGTGGACTCGCTATACCTCGAATCTTCCGGTCCTCTTTATATACTGTGGACTCCTACCTTCTCCGCTTAGGTATAGAGTCCATACCGTCTATGCGCCGGCTAATGGTTATACCATCAGTACCCCATGGGGTAACCTTAGTCTTGATTCGGTTACTACGGTTAGCCCTAATCGACAATCCTGCGGGGAGCGGCGGCGACTCTCCAATGAGAAGTCGAGAACGCCGCCGGCATTCTAAAGTATGTCCCACTTGCACTTCAGATGCATGATTCACTTGCAGCTTGGGACTCACGTTTGCACTGCAGCTCTTCGTCTAACTGGCCACATGGCATGCATCTTGGTCCATAATTCGGGGTCTCGGACGAATATGCTGCGAGGCGACCCATACATCGGCAATAGACACATCGACCGCGCACTTATGAGAACCTTATAAGAACGGACAACGAGGGTGAATATGAAGGTCCAGGAGTACTTCGCTTCCCACACTTGTGGAAAATCTTAACCTACTTTTTCTTTCCTGCTATCGCCTATATTCACCACGTACCTTCATTATGATAGGCCAACTGGCTATCACACCCCCCTCAGCCGAACAACACCCGACTGGCTTTGGTGTGGGCCACGCGACACCCCGCCTATCCTGGCGATTCCTTAACACAGAAGAAGACTGTCCGCTAGGATGGGAGCAGACTTCGTACGAAATTCAAATTCTTCGGTCCCAAGATTCACCCATAGAGAACTACGAAGTAGCCAGCGATAAATCGGTCTTGGTGCCTTGGCCAAGCTCCCCTTTGCAGTCGCGGGAAAGTGTTCAGGTGCGAGTCCGAGCTCACGGAACATGTATTAAGAAGACTCAAGCGGAACCTACAAATTGGTCTCCTTGGTCTACGATTGAATGTGCCCTGCTCGATCGTCACGACTGGAAGGGCCTTCCCATTGCCAGTCTAGAAGCTCCACCTCATGACACCCCACTGCGGCCAGTACGATTTCGCAAATTCTTCCAGTTCTCGGACGCAGACGCTATCAGTCGGGCTCGCCTGTACATCACCAGCCTAGGAGTATATCGCGCCTTTATCAATGGTCAGGCGGTGGGCGATCAATGCATGGCTCCTGGTTGGACAAGCTACCGGCATCGCCTCAATTATCAGGTGTTTGATGTTGCAGCTCTGCTAAATAAAAGCGGACCAAATGTAATCGCGGTCGAGGTGGGCGAAGGATGGTATGCTACCCGTCTAGGATTTAGGGGAGGCCGCCGAAAACTATATGGCGATAAGTTAGCGGTACTGGCCCAGCTAGAGGTGCAGTCTGAGCAGGAGAAGTCCTTTTCATTGGCCACAGATTCTACCTGGACTTGTCAGCCAAGTGCAATCCTGCAGAGTGAGCTGTATGATGGCGAAATCTACGATGCGAGAGAGGAGAACCCTAACTGGAATAATGCTCTTGAGGGTAGGGATTCTTCTTGGAATCCCGTGCAGGAGTTACAGTTCCCTTCAGCAACTTTGGTAGCTCCGGATGCGCCACCCGTGCGCGTTACAGAGGAGGTCAAAGCAGTAGAAGTTCTACATACTCCATCAGGAAAGACCGTTGTTGATTTCGGTCAGAATCTCGTCGGTCGGTTACGCGTCCGCTGCATAAACAAACCCGAGGGAGAGAAAGTCACCTTCACACATGCGGAGGTCCTAGAGCACGGTGAGCTAGGAACTCGCCCATTGCGAGCCGCAAAATGTAGGGATGAATTTATCTCTGCGGGAAAAGACGTCACAGACTGGACCCCACAACATACCTTTCACGGATTCCGATATGTACAAGTAGATGGTTGGACTGATCAAGATCCACCCTTACTTACAACCCTTGCGGCATTGGTAATGCACACTGACATGACTCGCAGTGGTTGGTTCGAGTGCTCGCATCCAATGGTTAACCAGTTACATCAGAACGCCTGGTGGAGTATGCGCGGGAACTTCTTGTCCATTCCAACGGACTGTCCCCAGCGAGATGAGCGCCTTGGATGGACTGGAGACATTCAGGTTTTCTGTCCGTCGGCGAACTTTCTCTACGATACAGCCGGAATGCTGGGGCACTGGCTGGAAGATGTGGCTGCAGAACAGCTTAAAGACGGTAACGGCTGTGTTCCACCACTCGTGGTACCAAATGTGGTCAGCTCAGAGTTGTGGCCGCATCATGTGCCTCAAGCAATTTGGGATGATGTAGTTGTCTTGACCCCTTGGACTCTCTACCTCTCTTACGGGGACAGTGACATTCTCCGCCGACAATATGCCAGTATGCTAGCCTGGATCGACCGAGGAATTCAACGGGGTCCCGATGGGCTCTGGGATCCCCAAGTGTGGCAGCTAGGAGACTGGCTAGACCCAACAGCACCACCAATCGAACCAGGAGACGCCCGGACGGATGGCACACTAGTTGCCGATGCCTATTTGGTCCATGTCACTTCAGTCATGGCTCAAATCAGTGAGGCCCTAGGCGAAACGGCAGACGCCACCCGATTCCAGGCCGACTCGGACCGACTGAAGACAACTTTCCAGGAGAAGTATATCGCTCCGTCGGGCTTACTTGCTGGAGACACCCAGACAGCACTAAGCCTGGCACTCATGTACGACCTCCACTCCACGGCCGATCAGGCCATAGAAGCAGCAAACCGACTAGTTCGCCAGGTCCGGCAAGCCAAGTTCCGAGTAGCCACGGGGTTCGCCGGTACCCCGATCATCGCCCATGCGCTGACCAAGACCGGGCATCACCAAGTCGCCTACCGCATGTTGCTGGAGAAGAGCCGGCCATCCTGGATGTACCCGATCACCATGGGGGCAACCACGATATGGGAACGCTGGGACAGCATGCTCCCCGATGGATCCATCAATCCGGGCGAGATGACCAGCTTCAACCACTACGCTCTCGGCTCCATCATCAACTGGCTCCATTACAGCGTGGCTGGCGTGCGTCCTATCGCTCCGGGATGGAAGCAGTTCCGGGTTGAACCCATCCCCGGCGGTAGTATCGATTCAGCTGAAGTCGCCTATGAGACCCCCTACGGACGGATAAAATGTCGATGGGCCTTCGACCCGGCTGAGGATCGCTTCAGTTTGGACCTGTTAGTCCCTCCGAACTCGCGCGCGCTTGTCATCCTGCCCAGTGAGGAGAGATGGGAAAAGAGGATCACCCTGAAGGCCGATGACGAAGACGGTACATGGATCGGATCTGGGCACCACCAGTTCTCATGCCGATGGAGCGTGGAGAGTCATCGTGGTGGGTGGCCTCCTAAACCCATTATCCCAATCATGCGGAAGCCGGGCCCGGAGACCATTGCTTGACATGAATATATAGACTTGGCTTTTTACCTTTGGACATACATGTTAGCGATAGAATTGAATGCAGTACATAGTTTCCGGGGTGGCAATCTAGACGCACGACACACCCGAGTAATGTGTCCATGAACTATATCATGATTCCAAGACAAATCGCAATGAATTCAAAGACCTCCCCTGCCAGATGCTAGAACACTTTATTCTCCTGGCATAAAGGAACAAGTTTGGTGGGCACCAACAAAAGTGTAACAGCGACAAAATCTTAGAATTCGATGACTATCTACATGCTAAAATCGTCACAAGAAGACAGCATATTCATATCTCTAAAAAGCAGACATCTATGCCAATGCAGCCTCCAAATCCATCACACTGACTGTAACCTTATTTGACTCTCCTTGAAGCACACCACCACCGTTCAGTAAGAGATAGTTCTCCTTCTCCTGCAAGATGCGTAGCGACCGAGTATAGCTCGCGCTCTCTGGGGTGGAGATCTCCGTCCACTCGCCTTCACCCAGGGCCTGGTTGACAAAGACAGAGCCCAAGTTGCCGCAGCTGACAACAAGGGTGCCATTGTCACCGCCAAAGGGAGTCCACACATTGTAAGGTGAACCTGTGGGCTGAGTGCCACTTGACACGACGAGCTTCTGGTGTGGGGCCGCGAGGAAGTTCTCGGGGTCCGCTGAGATCCTGTAATAGACGGGGAAGGAATAGTCGGAGGTGCCGAAGTATGATCCATATTCGTATGTCATGATGAATTCACCAGTTGGCAGCTGTTGAGGAAGTCAGTGGTGTATGTGAGCGAGGGAAAGACGGGACGCACCTTGGTGACAACGGGCATACCCGGGCGATCAGTGTAGGTAGGGTATGTACTGAAAACAAAAAGGTCGTGTCAGTCATGGATATCTTCGGTTGGATCGAAAAGAGCTTGCCAACTTACACATCGTCGATTACATCACCCCAGTTCTTCAGGTCGGTGGTGGTTTGGTGAACGAGTTTCTGGCCATACGTTTCATTGGCTCTCTGGTCCGAGTAGAAGCAGATCAACTTTCCATTGCTATTGAACGAAAGTTAGAGACTGTTCAGGGACAATGCACGATCTAGTATCACACTTACTGAGCAAGAAGGAATGGTTCCCAGACTGGGGTCAATCCGTTGTTAGGAAGCGCTTCACCGCCAGCAGCGATATGGCTCACGAACTCCCATGTGACGCCAGAGTCGCGAGAAGCATAGAGATCGATTTGTGTGGTCGCGAGGTCTGTTGGGATGCTGCTCCCAGCTAGCAGGATAGTACCGGCCTCGTACGATCCAATTGACTCTTCCAGGTAGTAAAGGAACGGCTGGTAGCGCAGGCCTAGCCCATTGGCTGTATCTTCTACGCGAGACAGTTCGCTCCAGGTTTTACCGCTATCAGTTGAGCGATAGATTGGGAAATAGACCGCTGGTGGCTCGGGCGAGTAGTTTTCCCAGGTCGCTAATAGATCTCCATTGGGTAATTGGAGGTTGCGAGCGTAGAGGGTACGAGGAATGACATAGTCGGATGGCGGACTGAAGATTGTTACCTCGGAGAAAGTAGTTGGGGTCTCGGCCCTGGGGATGCTCGCCGCGAGAGCCAACGGGGCGGCTAGAAGGAAACGTAAGAAACGCATTGGTGAACGCTGGGATTCTATACAAGTCTAGTCAAAAGCATACTTCTCTCATAGCAAGGACAGGGGCTTTTAAGCTGCCTTTTATAGCAGTACGTTGATTCTCATGACCGTTGGACAGGAGTATTTCCCCAGACCCCAGATCGATGTTCGTGCTTGTGTGGGGAAATGCCATGAACTCATCCCACCGGAAATACTCCAAAAATGGCCGCGACAAGTCTTTTGGTCTTGTATAGCTTCATGAAAACCCCACCAATCGCACAGCTGACCAGGAGCAATGGCCATCATGGAAGTGCATCTAGGAAGTTGAACGTGGTCAAATGCCGTCATACTATTTCCCTGGTGATCGGAGAACATACGCAATCCAAGGTCATATATTGGCGAGTGGGACACTGTCTGACGTATGAGGTTTTCTTTCGGGATTATGCAATCCTTTTGTAGCTTCTACTATCTTCTTCCGGGCAGTCCAACTGTCTTTTGCTGCGATACTGTCTGGAGATGCTCAGGTGGAAGTTGATGGAAGGAACAGCAAACAAACATACACTCAGTGTCACATGTCGACACCTGATCTCTCTCTCACGAAGTGGTAGATTGTCATATGACTAAGACGTGGAAACATTGGATTGTTTCTCATAGGATTCTTGTTCAATCTATAATATCATGTTCAAGACCATTCAACATCTGTATCAGAGGCTCGAGCTATTCTTATGATCGACAAACTTGGATTGTATATATTTGTAAGTGTTTATCTACGGAGATTAGGTTATTAGGACGGCTCTATAGATGTGAAAACCGATTCCCACTCATTCTAGCGCTGGTTCGTTAGACATATGGTTAGCCAATACGCTGTCTTGTAGTGTGTCCACTACATTATCCAGAGCCCTGTGAATAGCCTGGATATATTTTCAACCATGGTAAACTGGGGGGCAAGAACGTGGAAAGGACATTAGTTTACCATACACTTGATTTATAAATTTAAATAACGAAGCTTATCACAATCTCCATCCTCGATGGTCTAACGGTCATGATTTCCGCTTGTCATCCCTTACAGGAACAAGCGCGGGAGACCTGGGTTCGACTCCCAGTCGGGGAGATCTCTTTTTTGCTTTTCTACCTTATTTTCGGGTTTTTCTTCCCATTACTCGCTGTTCCTTTTCACTTATGCTTACTCTCCGGTCATGATGTTAACTGTTCCAATGGAGGATTACCGTCCACTTTGTACCACAACCGCGCGCTCGATCCTAGTATCCGGGCTCTGGGCCTTCTCTTGCCCTTTCAAACACCACAAGTACCACTAGTATTGGAGCGAAGCTCTGTGCGAGCATTCTACCATCAAGAAACTCCTGCGGTGCTGTAATCTGCCGGATTGTATATTGCGCGGGATCCCTGCTACTCGCGACCCGGCTAACCTTTCTACGCGGACGATGCCCCATATAGGGTCATTGAAGGCCCCAATGTTGGTTGAGGGTATATTTAAATCCTAATATTTGGTTGTAACCTTTAGCTATCAATGTCACTAGCACACGGCTCATAAGCAGCTAGAGGTGGTCAGGATAGACAGTTTAGCCCACCTCAAAACCCCAATAAACACATAAACGGGCCGCTATACCTGGCTGGTACCTCCACAATTACGACCTGAACATGTTCTCCCCAGCAACCTGAAAGCCTAACGAACTAGGCCACAAGTGCCCCAAGCGAGGTGTTACACCTAAAGGAGTCATCTATGCCTGTGAAGGAAATCGAGGGAAGTTATTATGGACGAATTGACGACTTAGGTAAAGCTCGCAGCCTTTGATATCGTCCAGAAAGACATCCCGAGAGAGCACTGCCATGTAATATTGTTGTAGTAGAGGCCCTACTGGAGCAGATACTTTTACTGCAGCAATTTCTCTGCAATTGGCGAAAAGTCAACCCCATGGAAAACTAATGAAGCCTAATAACGTACTCTCCTATGGTGCGAAGCCTGGGCGATAGATAAGATGATTTCCACGTCCTCAATACATCCTGCAGACAGTTATCGAGTCGAACTAGCCCGGTAGTTCCCAATATACTCCGTTAACAAAAAGCCCATATGAATATGGTAGGAATTCAACACGAGTAAACACTAGGAGTTTGATAACTCGCTCAATGATCCCTAGCAAGGATAATATGGGTTAAGAAAACAAAACCAGAATGAGGTCAAATGAGAGCTTTTCTCAAACAACTCAGGAACCTAGCACCATCTAAAGGGACAACTACGAAAGGAACCAAAACCAAAAAAAAAAAAAGCCACAGTCCTGCGTGTGTAGGGAGGGAAAAAAGAATCTCCCCGACTGGGAGTCGAACCCAGGTCTCCCGCGCTTGTTCCTGTAAGGGATGACAAGCGGAAATCATGACCGTTAGACCATCGAGGACTTGATATATTGAAAGTCCCTGTTCTTGACATTGTAAGCTAAGCAAATAAAAACGCAATATTCTAAGTAGGCCTTTCCAAGATCCAAAGGCAGAGACTAGGCTTTAGCAAGCATCTTAAGAGTTGTACAGTTCATGAAGTCACTAAATGATTTAAAACAGATTTTTGGTGAAGACCAAGAAAAATTGTCGTCCAGCTATATTCTATAGTCTACTCTCTCCTCACTCGCCCCAAGACCGACATAAACCAGTCCCTGTACCTGAACACCTTCCTTTCTGAGGTTCCATCTTTGCCCTCCATTCCCTGTACAGGGAAACATTATGGAGTGCACCGTTAGAGTATTGTGAACTCGATGTTCAGAAGAATGGCTGACGCTGGGCAGACCGAGAAACAATATATGCTGGGAAGAAACCAAGCTCACTTCATGAAGCAAGTGCGCCAAATACTTACTATAGCGTGCCTCAGAGTATGCTTTCTGGATCACTGCCCTGGTTTATATAACATAATCGAGGAGAGTATATCTCGTTACTAATCCTCGATGGTCTAACGGTCATGATTTCCGCTTGTCATCTCACACGAGAACAAGCGCGGGAGACCTGGGTTCGACTCCCAGTCGGGGAGCTTATGTTTTTGTTTTGCTTCAAAATTCTTTTTCTTTTCTGATCAATTGTTGCAAGATCATTTCCTACCGACCCCCTCCCAGTTGCTGAACAGTCTTTCCATTATTGTAAAAAGTGGCGAGAGCCAACGATAATTCACTATAGTGGACAAATATCTTCCGGTCGAATAGTCAGATGTGCCCTGATATAGAAACGGAAAGGAGACCTTCTGCCACAAGACTAGGAAGGGATTATTCGCAGAACTGGACCCTTTCGGCTCGTTAAAAACCCAAGCTATTGAATTCCTGGCCAATGACTTGGGCTATATTGTTGCTCCCGTGCGACTCGGTGGTCTCGGAGCTTTAACGACGCAGCATAGGGATTCATCATATTAGGTTAATCCTGTCGATCGATAGAAATAGAGCAGGATCTATATTTACCGTCCCAGACATAGGACAGAGCGTGGCATGGATAATAAATACTCTTGGCCAAATTCTGATATAGAATAATCATCCAAAGGACATTCTATTCGGTAGTAGATGGAGAATGCGAATTGTAGT